CACCGCAGTAGTCTGTAGAATGAGGTTTTCTAGTTTAAAGACTCGGAAAAGTCTCTTGAAGGTGGGCAGAAGTTTTGAAAAACTACTTTGGGTTGGATTTTGGGGGGTGGTCTGTTGTGAATTGAAAGGGGGCAGATAGCTCGCATCACTGCTAGGAAGCTGAATACCTTACTGCAGCTGTATAACTGCCTTAAAGTCCTCATTATAATGGGGAGAATCGATGATTCAAAAGACAGAAATGACTCCTTACATGAGGAGAACACCAAAAGTTGAAGTTAGCAAGGAAGCTGGCTATCTGGGTAGCTTACCTCAGTTTGGCTTCTTTTCTCTTGCTGAAATGCAAAAAAACACTTGTCTTTAATGTCTCTTTTGAGCTGAATAAGGTTTTTGTTTTATGTCTTTGTTCAATAATTGAAGTCAGAATTACCATTACACTAATGCTAGTTTGGATGTGTTTATTGGCCAGTAGCTCAGTGGCTAGGCTAGCCCTCAGGATTGGTTGACACCACAGGGATTTATGATGTGTTTTCATAACGTATGCTGGGAATTGTAGTGAGAAAACATTTATATTTGAAAACATGAAAATATAAAATCATGAATTCTGTCCAGTGAGGCTAAAGTATTTAATGCAGTGCTACAGAACACACACACACACACACACACACACACACACACACACACACACACAATCTAATGAATTCACAACCATTGGCCAACTGTGTTTGCACACAGAGGAATTAGACCTCCGCCTTTAACCCATCTGTGCAGTGCAACACCCACATACACACACACACTAGGGGGCAGTGAGCACATTTGCCCTGTCTCCACAGCCTCCACACAGAAGAGTAAAAATCCGGACCTGCATTTTCAGCCAGATCAGCCGAGACTCTCAGATCTCTGACTGTCTGCTGCCTGTAAGCAGACATTACTGTACTGTGCTGTCCTGAGTTACCACTGATAGATCTACAGAATCTGATATCAGAATCTGATATCAGTCAACCAATAGGAATATTAAGACTTCATGACTTCATTGATTGACAGCCCCTTTGTTAGCATAAGGACAAGGAAATACAGAAATAAATAAATAAATATAGAAATGAATAGTTGAAATAAATGAATAAAAAAAAGAAAAAATGTTAATAAAGAAACATAACTAACAAAATAAATAAACACAAAAATTAGTGAGGAGGAGAAATTACTAAATAGACATACAAGTAAATGCAGGCGTATTAAATTATGTAAGGTATTATTTATTAATATATTCTTTTCTATGTATATATACTTATTTTCAGATTTATCATCATTATTCTTTGCAATTCGAATTCATATATTAATTTACTGAGTTATTTATTTTCAATTTTATTCATTTTGGCACATCTAGTCCTTCATATTCAGGACAAAGAATTCAGAAATCAGCCATTCATCATTAATACAGTATTGAGATCTACTTTAGTTCTTTGAGACAATCTTAAGAAAGACATTTTTTCCTCCGGGCAGAACGTTACATAAACATTTGTCAGGTGCTTCTGCTGTGATCAACCCCACCCAACAGCAGACTGCACGTCACTCATCTTGTTACAACATGTCCAAGTATAAACCTGGATTTCTGTATGGGTGGAAGCCAATTAGTGGTTTGATGGTGTTTATTATTTGACTGCTTTGCTGATTCTTTCATTTCAGTGTAACTGTCAATCTTTGTCCTGTGAGTAAAAGCGCATGAGACTGGAATTTTCCAGAGTATGTCCTGTTGACCCCTTTTCTCTTTTTTGTGTGTGTTTCCACCCACCAGCAGCTTGGGAGAGGCAGATAAGCTGAGATATGTAGCACCAACACTAGGTGTCAGAAAAAGCTGTAAGTAAAGAAGAAATACTCACAAATAGTACTTTCAGTACCGTAGTGGAGATTTCTGTTACTCCTTTGCCTTTAAGTTAAGGCTAAATAAACTGAATCAAGACAACCTGTGAACTGCAAATATTGCAATATTGCCTCTTAAGTTAACCAGATGAGACATTTAGGCTACTCAAGAATTATTTACATTCACATTTTCGGCATTTGGCAAACGATCTTATCCAGAGCGACTTACAGTTTGATCATTTTACACAGGTAGGTGAAGGTAGTGTTAGGAGTCTTGCCCAAGGACTCTTATTGGTATAGTGCAGGATGTTCACCCAGATGGGGACTTGAACCCCAGTCAATTATAACTCTGTGCTTCAGTTTTTGACTCTAATCTTTAAGTTCTTAAACTAACAGTAAACTGACAGTAATCCACTTACATTGCATTAAAGTGCCCATATTCTTTGTGACTTTTGAATGGATTTACATCATTTTTACATTTTACAACCTCTCTTTTATGTATTATTGGATTAAACAGGCTGTTTTGTTACTGTGCCTAAGAATATAAATGTATTAATTGTATAAAAAGAATGAAAACGAGCCCTATTCCTATTGGCTGCCCTGCACTGTGCCTCATTCAGAAAGCAGTCCAGGCTGAAACACTAGGCGTCGCCATTATCCACCTTGTGTATGCACTGGTTGTACCGTGTGTGCCTGGTTTCTGCTTCATTCAGTTTCTAGACAATTTCATTTTAACTGTAGGCTACACAACATTTATGTAAGAGCCGTTTATGTGTAACTTGCCATTTAAGCAGGTTTCTCCACCCTTGTCGTGATGTAAAAAGCAGTGAGCCGGCACAGGTAAGTGGACTGTACACAGTTCTTATAACTTCAGTGTAAATGGGTGAAGCTAAACTGCTGAACAGCTAAACTTTTCATGACCACAAAAATACATGTTTTGCTGCTTAGTTAAAGCAGCACTATGTAATATTGTTTGGTGAAACTGAAAGAAGTAGCATTTCTGAGTATGGAGAAAAAAGAACACACTAAAATTTGTTGTGCATGTGTCACTGCGGGTCGCCCTGTAAATCCTGAAATAATCATTTTAAAGTCAGAGGTGTCGGGACAGACTTGGCAGGAGGTATTCAGACCACGTCACTGGTCTTTACGTATTAACGTCAGAGAACTTGTAAGCTGTGTCCCAACTCAGGTGCTGCGTCCTTCAGAGGCTGCATTTGAAGGCCGATTAGGTGTCAGCGGTGCGCCTAGGCTGTCCCATTTCAAGTCAAGTCAAGTCAAGTCAGCTTTATTGTCAATAGTACAATATGTACAGGACATACAGAGTATTGAAACTGCGTTACTCTCAGACCCCATGGTGTAGCAGTAACATTAAATAGACGGTAAACAGAAAAAGTGTGAATTAAATAGATGCTAAATAAACACTAAACACTAATCGTAAAAATAAACACTAACTGTAGAAAAATAGAACAATAAAAAAAAATTAATAATAAGGAGCGGACAGAGAGAAGCATCTCCAGCTCTAATAAATGAAAAAATAAAAAAAATAAAATCAAAGTTTCTGGCTCCGTCTTTAAAGAACTTTAAAAGAACAGCGGTGCTGTGAGACAAACAGGAAATCTGCCGTGGAGCAGATCGTCTCATTTCGGTTCAGCCTTAGCAGGTCTACGCAGCCTTCAAAGGACGCAGCCTCTGAATTGGGACACACTGGTAGAGAGGAGAGTTCCCACTCTGTAATGTCTTCTGGGTTTCTCAAACGCTAGAGGGCGCTCCCAAGCGATTCCAGAATGAATAGGTTAGGATGGAACAATTGAGCAAAATCATAGTTTATAAATGCTTATACATTTTTAATGTAAAAGAATACAATAATTTCCTGAACACAGAACAACATAAATCATTCTAACACCGCTGTTATATTTTAAGAGTTTCTAAACTCGAGTTACAGGAGTTTAAAACGACGGCTTGTATGTTCGTGACGTCAGTGAGCGCGAACAGCCAATCAACCAATCAACACTCAGTAGCAAGTAGTAGTGCCAAAAACCTGTTTGCTGTAGAAAAAAAGGAAACACAGGAGAGTTTGCTTTTTTAGTGAAATACGTCCTTCTGCTTTCTAAACTTAAAGGAAAGTTCTGGGCGAGAGATTAGAAACTATTTTAACTTTTTGTTTTTAGCCGTTGAGCTCCATTCACTCCCATTCATTGAGGACTCACTCGCGGGCGCCCTCTGCTGTTCTGCAGTCCTGTTTTTGATATAACGGGGGGAAATAGGAAGTGGCCAGACTCCTCATAAACCGGCTCTGTTTACGTCACACACAGGCTCAAAAAGAAGGTCCAACTCAATGTTTAGGTCTCACAAGCAAAATCAACAGTATACTAATGGAAAATATGATGACAATAACAGATAATTCACTCACATCTTCGGAAGACACGTCTTTCACTTTTGACCGAGTTCTCTTTGAATGCTCTTTCAAAACACTCGTAAAAGTCAGATTCATCCGCGTGTGGGGGTCCGAAGCACAACCCACGTTACAAAATGTTCTTCCGCACGGTTGTGCAGTTACATATTTCCACCAGAGAGGTCGCCAAATCCCCAAATCCTTCATGGTGTTGCTTTATTGTCTAGGGAATGAATGCTGCGTTTGGAAAATTAAACTATGTTTATATTCCACATAGACCTTTTTTCCATTTTTATTTCAAAAATAAAAACAGTGATGAAAACGCCATTTAATATCAAGACAGTTTGGCCCAAATTGTGCTTATTTCACACATCGTCTCTAATTTCTTAAATCAGCTGTAAACCAGTTAAATTGCGTAAGGACAGGCAGTTTTGTGTTTTGTTCCACCCACCAGCACTGCGGGATTGGGAAAGGCTGATAAATGTGGGACATGAGGCAGCATTTCTGCAGCGGCCCGCCGCTCAGCTGCGTGTTGTGTGGGGCGGGGAAAAGGCCATAAGGTGAGGCAGCCACTGTCCAAATCTCAGCTGGAGGCTTCAGACGGGCTCGGGGACGCTGTCATGCTTACTGGACTGAACCACTGACTGTAAGTACACGTATTCCCCTGGTTTAGAGGCGGAAAAGCTCGCTAGAACTGGGTTTAACTTTTCCTTGTTGCTGCACTTGAACTCTGAGCTGAAGCGAAGAGGGCGGAGCTCAACACGCTGACTGGGAGAAACACGTTTAGCCAAGAATCGAGTTTTTATCGCTTATTCTATCAAGTTCCGACCTTGTCCGCCTTTGGAATATGAAATGAGGGCAGCGCCTGGTAGATTAAGGTGAGATGAGGCGAGTTTCTGGTCGTTTTTAATGAGGAGTACCTGAGGGAGTCATGAACGAGCTGAAATCGTCCACCTGAAAGTGGAGGACATTCCTGTTTAAAGCGAAACTTCAGCATCCACTGATCCAGTCGGGCATTGAAGTGAATACCAGTGTTTGAAGCACTTCAGTGTCAAAAGTAAGAGCAAACGCCACGTATAAGACCTGTATGCATTTTATTTTTATTTTAATTAGGTTTAAAAGAGGTTTTTGAATCAGAAAATCCCAGTTACACTTAAATTTGCTTCAGTGTCAACGTTTCAAACCTCTAACTAGGTTTTTGTAAAACGTAGAATATCATATCGCTGTTGGAGCAAAACCTCGTATCTCCAAGAAGGTAACTTTACAGGAGGAGGAAAAAACATACTTCACTTTTAACGCAAGTCAATGGAACCAGACGTCTTTCCAAGTCATTTTAGGTCGTTTCTTTTGGTCCATTCGTCATTAAATCTTAACACAATGTAAAGGGCAACAGGTACTTTCAAATTATGTCAAAAACTGAAAAACGAAAAAAAATGTAGATACAAGGTTTTGTTTCAACAGCAGCGAGATATCTCTTTAAGTTGGTCCTCAAGTTTAGTTAAGGTAGTCTCAGAAACTAAACACTAAATTACACATTCCCATAAACAGTAAATAAGTACAGTAGAAGAGAGTTTAGTTACTCTCAAACAGGAATTTCAGTCATATATTACTTTTTTCCTCACGTTTTGTCCCTGTTTTCTTAATCTAACCTGGAATAAAATAGTGTAGGCTGCAGTTATGTATATGGAATAGGTAATGTGTGGCTTGGCTTGTCAAAATAATTTATGATGGCTTTAGCTTCCTTCAACAGAGATCAAGCCTAGTCCTGGACTGAAACAGCAGTCTGAATTGAGAGTTTCCACTAAATGGAAAGTGAAATCCAGGACTATACTTAAAGAAATTCTACTCATTTTCAGAATTTCTGTATAATAAAATGGTTAAGATGTAAGCAAAGTCATTCAGAGCGGTTTGATATGAGATGCTCCATTTCGGAGGAAATCACTGAATTGTTCACAGTGGTGGTGATAGGAACCAGACGTCTGAAGAGACGTCTAAAGGTGCTTTGTGTGAGATTCAGGGGGATCTATTAGCACAAATGGAATATAGTATACAAAACCAGGTTTAGTGTATCATCACCTGTAACTACGAATTGTGATTTCATTAGCTTAGAATCAGCCCTTTATATCTACACAGGGAGCAGGTTCTCTTCCAGCAGAGGCCGCCATGTGGCGCCGCCATGTTTCTGTACCACATTGACTCTAGAGAGCGTAGAAATACACCTAGATATACACCGATCAGGCATAACATTATGACCTTTGGACACTCATTGTCCATTTTATCAGCTCCACTTACTATATAGGTGGATTACAGACTGTAGTCCATCTGTTTCTCTGCATACTTTGTTAGCCCCCTTTTACCCTGTTCTTCAGTGGTCAGGACCCCCATGGACCCTCACAGAGCAAGTACTATTTGGGTGGTGGATCATTCTCAGCACTGCAGTAACACTGACTAGTTTTGATGGTGTGTTAGTGTGTGTTGTGCTGGTCTGAGTGGATCAGACACAGCAGTGCTGCTGGAGTTTTTAAATACTGTGTCCACTCACTGTCCACTCTATTAAACACTCCTACCTTGTCAGTCCACCTCGTAGATGTAAAGTCAGAGACGATAGCTCATCTGCTGCTGCACAGTTTGTGTTGGTCATCCTCTAGTCCTTCATCAGTGGTCACAGGACGCTGCCCACAGGACGCTGTTGGCTGGATATTTTTGGTTGGTGGACTATTCTCAGTCCAAGAGACGACACTGAGGTGTTTAAAAACTCACTGCTGTGTCTGATCCACTCAGACCAGCGCAACACACACTAACACACCACCACCACGTCAGTGTTACTGCAGTGCTGAGAATGATCCACCACCCAAATAGTACCTGCTCTGTGAGGGTCCATGGGGGTCCTGAGCACTGAAGAACAGGGTAAAAGGGGGCTAACAAAGTATGCAGAGAAACAGATGGACTACAGTCTGTAACTGTAGAACTACAAAGTGCACCTATATAGTAAGTGGAGCTGATAAAATGGACAATGAGTGTAGAAACAAGGAGGTGGTCATAATGTTATGCCTGATCGGTGCATGTTTTGACGTTGAAGCAGCAGCTTGAATTTGGAGGCGCTATAGCACCAGTTGGCATAGAAAGAAGAAGAATCAGTGGTTGCTGGCTGCTCATATTGTGTTGTGAGAAGTTTGAGAACCTAAATTTTGACAAATGGAGGATCATTCTTATTATTTAGCACAAGAAAAAGCGATAGAGGGAAAAACATGCAGACGCAAAACAAAATTGGTATAGACGATGGCAGAAAACAAGGATGAACATTGGTGTGGCCTTTCCCAAAGGAGATCGCTAAAGAGGGACAAATGCTTTCACAGCGTCAACTGAAGTTGCCGGTTTTCTGCTGGACTGGTAATTTGGCATACAAATTGCCTGATGACCATAGGTTCTACTACATGCTTGGGAAGGCGAGGGGTGAGGGACGGGTATTCAGTTGCTTGCAATCTGCAAACTCACCACTAGACCCCACTAAATCTTACACACTGCCTTTTTTTTACAGTGCGGTTTTATCCTAAAACATTGTTTTTTAACGGTCATGGCGGAGAGGTACATGCAGGGTGTTAAGGCAAAATAGTTATTAAAACATTAGGACCCCTTGTTCCTATCACCACCGCTGTAAAGAAATCTGAGTTAGTAAGTTTTTCTACAATAAACAATTTCACATCAAACCACTCTGACTCTGTTTTCTTCTCATCTACTGAATTACACAAGTTTGAAAAATTAGTGGAATTCCTCCTTCATGCCTTGACCCTTGGAAGGTGCATATCCTGTATTCAGATCCGTTCTTTGGCCGTTAGGATTAAACAGGCCTTTTTAAACATACTTTCAAGATTGATACATGTAAATGATCTCTGTTCTGATTGGATATACTGTTTTGTGCCTCACTGAAAAAGCAGTCTGGGAGGAAACACTTCCCTTTTCTGGGAATTGGCAGAGCCAGACTGCTGTAGGTTGAATGTGTGGATGCATTTAAACAAGTTGGTTTTCATGACATCATGCAGCTTATTTTCTTTATATGGACTGTAGTAATTTCAATAAACAGACTTTCCATATATGATACCAGGGAGTAAACAGTGCATTTAGACACTTTTTGGCATGTTTCAAGTTGTTTCAAGTGAGGAACGTGATATTCCGTGATATGGACCATTTGATGTGTGATTTCTCATAAGAAATCAAAGACATCAAAGAGTGGTAGAGTGACTTGGACATCACTGTGTTCTCCTCACATTTTGACTGTCACTAGATCAGCCAGCCAAATATGGGTGAGACAGCAGCCACAGAGGACGGGACAGTGACGAGGTCCGCAGAGGTAAGGCTTTTATTTCACAGTACATACTTTATATGTTTCTGTCTTCTTGCAGTTTTTGTCATTCTGTAAAAATAACAACAGTAGAATTTTGTCTGTCTCTTAATACATGCCTCTCATTCCTGACCTCTAAGCGCTTTAATCACTAGAGAACTGAACAGGTCATGAATTCTTGACTCACTTGTCTAGTACATCGGCTCATTTCCTGTTGACGACAGCTGTCTGGATGAACAAATCGAACAACTGCACACCCAGCTGAAGTCCCTCAAGGTAATCTTTGCTGAACAAAAAAAGCTTTGTGCTCTGTACAAATCACACTTAATGTCGTACTTATTCTGTGCTTATATGCGTAGAACTGCAAGCGAAGGCGAGCCGTCTCCCTGAAATTCTCCATCAAAGGAGTGAAGGTGTATAATGAGGATGAGACGGTAAGATCTCTTGCTTTTGCTTTTCATCCACTTTGGTTTTTCTTGTTTAGTCCAGCCTCACTTTCATTTTCTAGATTAGTGTGTTTTTCAGCCGTGCTGTTGGAGCAGCCCTGCCCTGCATATTTGAGTGTTTTTCTTGTTCTAACACATCAGCTGAGGGTTAATTGATCTATCCATGCTCTGCCCACAAATACTTTCTTCTGTAGCAATGTTGTTGCCACAGTGTTGGCGAAATCCCATTGAACCCCATGAGGAAATTGGAACTCAGCTTTTGGCAAAATACCGACATTTAGAGTGTTATTAATTTCAAATGATGTTTATTTTGTATGAGTTAAGGTTGCACTGTTAGGACTATTAGGATGCTGTAGGTTTTTGCATAGAAGAGGCATTTTCGCTCACTGACTGGCCGACGACGTTGGTTGTAGCTAGCCCTCAGTTGGCCTGCTAACCACCATTTGTCTGTTAGAAGAAGAAAAAGATGGTAAAGAAGAAAAAGAAAAAGTATTGTAGTGTTGCCTCAAGCGCCTAGGGGCCAATGCCTGACCATCTCCACTCTGAGGAGCAGCAATAGGCTGATCTGGCACCCGAGCTCGGGGTTCAGGCGCCAGCTTCTCATGCTAGACAGTGTTGGGTAAGCTAAGGCCAAGGCTGTTCATTTCATGTACGTGTGACAAATAACTTACTTTCATTTAATAAATCAACATTTAGTGGTAACAACAAAGTGCATTACAGTTACAGTTAAGGTATATTTGCCAGCATGAATCTTGTCTGGTTTGGCAATGAAGAATACATTTGTGGGAGGAGCATTGATGGGTCAGTTAGCTGATTAATTGGATCAGGTGTGTTAGGCCTGGGAAAACTAAGGGGGCCTCCATAACCTGGGGTCTTTCTCCTGAAGCACATTCAACTTGGACAGAGTTAACAGAGTTCCTGACTAAGTTTTATCTTCACTAAACCAAACAAGCACAGACACAGTCCACTCGTTTAATGATGCGTGGCCACAACTTAGTAAGGCGTGGGAATGAGATCCTAATGCGTGGCCAAGACTTCCCATTTCACCCCTCGCCCCTACCACCTAGCCCTTAGCCCTCTGTTTTGCACGTTCACGTCTAGGGTTAGGGTGTCCCAATTTTTGTTGACAGAGAGGGGTAGAGCGAAGTGTTGGGGCTACATGACCCTCCAAACAGAGGTTTTCCAGAGACACTCCAAACAGAGAGTTATGAGAGAAAAAAAAAACCGGCAAGATGGCTGAACAAGAGACCAAAGAAACACACAAATGTGAGAATTTTCTTCGTAAAAAATTATGATAATCATTGTATCGTTTCGTATTGTATTTCGTTTGTATTTTGGTCGTTTTCTTCATAACAAGCATAAAAAATCGCTAATACCATGCTAATGTCTTGGTAGCTAGCTAGCTAACTTTCCCATTCCACCTTAAATAGTCCAGCAGTTCTGACGCCTGAAGCGCCAAAATGTAACTGCTGCTCCATTTAAGGTGGAACAGGAAAATTTGAACAAGAATCGGGTGAATATCTGACTTCAGCTTCGTATCACCAAAGAATTAGGGGTGGGTGATAATAAATAATTGCCCCCCTCTTTGAAGGCATATGATGCCCTAAATGTAACTAAAGCCCAGCAGTGAGGAGCTGAACTTTACCCTCCTCTGCTGTCACTGCAGACTGGCAGAGTCACCTACAGAGCAGTGCTAGTAGCTGTTAATGAAGTGATGCTCTTTTTATTTGAGGGTCCCATTTCAGAGGGAAGATTTCAACCACTACCCTGTAACTCAGTTCCAAGGGGTGACACTCGAAAACAAGGGGTAGGGGTAAAAATAAGAAATGGGATTGGGCCTCAGTAAGACATGGGAATGAGATCCTAATGCGTGGCCATGACTTAGTAAGGCATCATCTCATTCCCACACCTTACTAAGTCGTGGGTACGCATTAGGATCTCGCTCCCATGCTGTATTAAGGTGTGGCCACACATTATTTTCATTTATATGGGATGTCACCTGCAGGGCTTCCTACTCATTTTAGGCAAGTAGTTAACGACTCTCTCTGTTAAAACAGTTTTAGATGACGTGTATAATGAGCTGCCAATCATGTGAAATATGAGAAGCTGAGTTGCTTAATTATCAAAGAAAGGAAAAAGACATCTTACTGTGTACATAAATAGAAAGTACAGCACTAAGAACTGTGAAGAGGAGAGGAAAAAAGTGACCTTAAAAGAACCAGAGGGGTCCATCTCCATCAGAAGCTCAGCCCTGTTTGGTCGGATGTTCACTGTGATTGGTCCTAGAGCTCTTTATGACCTGAAATCCTAAAATTGACCTGCCATGGATCAGATGAGGAGTGCAGCATAAGCTGCCGTGGTGATGTAGCTCAGTAAGAAGTGATCCACCATCATAAGACAGAAAATCCAGGGTTAAATCTAGCTAATCTTAGTTAGCTGGCTACGGAGTAAATCCTGCTTTGTGAAACAGACGGCAGGTTAGAGAGCCGTTCCAGATGAGTTGAGAGACAAATATAGTTACCTAATCTCGCAAAACAGGATGGTTAACATGTGCTGTGATGTTTTGTGTGTGTTCAGACTCTTCTGATGGCACATGCTCTGCGCCGAGTCTCCCTCTCCATCGCTCGGCTGTCTGATTCTCAGTTCGCCTTCGTCGCCCACAACCCCGGCAGCCCTGACACCCAGCTCTACTGCCACCTCTTCAAGGCCCGACATGCCAGAGCTGTACGTGTCCACACAAACAAACCTCTGTCCATCCTAGGGCTGCAACTGATTATAATGGACTATTATTTAATGGCTAGGCTAATCGAACCTCTATTCGTTTTGCTATTTCTTCTCACTCTACCCATCGTAGAGTGCTGTCATTTAAAGTTGTGTCTGTGTTAATTGATTACAGTAGAGAACAGTAGAGTCCCAATTCAGGGGGCTGGATCCGTCGAAGGATGCGGTCTATGAAGGCGTGTCCTTCGAAGGCTGCTTAGACCCCCGAAGGCTGAACCGAAATGAGACGATCTGTTCTACGGCTCTGTTTTCTGTTTGCATCACAGCACCACTGTTCCCGCTGTGCCACGAAACGCTGGTCTTGTCAAGTTCATTTAAAGTTCTTTAAAGATGAAGCCAGAAACTTTGATTTTAGTTGTTTATTTTTTCATGTATTAGAGCTGGAGATGCTTCACTGCCGGCTACTGATGAGGTTGTTTGTGTGTGTTTTACATTTGTATTGTTAGCCATTCTCCTCAGTTTAAACCCAATACTTATATTTAAAAGTGTCTCTTCAGCCACCGTTCGCTCCTCTGCTGACGCTGCCATGTTCTCGAATCCTCGCCAGCACGCAGTGAACCTCGGGATATGTTGACTGGTGATGGATCCTTCGTTGGATCCTTTGTGGCCATGGAAAAGGACACATTTCTCGGCTGCATATGAAGGAGCCTTCGAAATGGGACAGCCTAGTCGCGCCGCCGTGACGCAATCAGCCTTCAGATGCAGCCTCCGAAGGACGCAGCCCCTGAATTGGGACACACTGCTTTTCTCACCTTACACTTCCTGTAGTTTATTGCAGTCTGTTAGAATCACTGTGTGTATCACATGACAGTCATAGAGCATTACAGAGCGCTTCTGCTTTTAACTAAACAATGCAACTTTTTTCGACAGTGGAGGTCACTGATCGACTGTCCGGTAATAGTTGTGCCCTAATCCTTACACTTTTACCTGTTAGTGACTGTAAAACATAATGCATAGGCTTGTTTACCCTGCGGGACAAATCGAATATACTTCTTAAACACCAAGTATTCAGATTTTGTGTTACAGGTAATGAAAATCTGATTTGTATGGTCAGACTGCATATCTGCATTGGTTGCTATAGTAATGGCGCACGCATGAGTATGCTGACTATGGAAGGACGGGCGACACTTGGGCTACGTTCACATTACAAGCCTCATTGCTCAAATCAGTTTTTTTGCTCAAATCCGATCTCTCTGACATGATTGTTCACACTCGTTTAGGTAAGTGATTCAAATCTGTCATTAATGTGAACGAACCGTCGTCCTGAAATGACCCTTGTGAGCTCATCCTACTCAGTAACGTCACGTGAATGAATCACGATCATCATCAACACAAACTAACGAGCAGAACAAGCTTCGCTGAGAAGATCATTAACTCTGATCAGCTCTCAGCTTCATTATTAGAGCGAGACGAAGGAGAAAAAGGTGAGATGAGCTGCTTTTCCACCGTTTACAGGCATTAACTTCTGTTCGGCGCTGCTGCCATGGTAACGCTGAATGATGGCGCACGCGCAGTGGAAAAAAAGCACATGAATTCCGATCTGAGCGTCACATTAAGGTCACACGGCCACGAATTGGATACGTATCTGATCTACGACCACGGATGAAAATGGCTCAGGTCGGATTTGAAAAGATCAGATTTGTGTTCACACAGCCCTGAAAACATTAGGGCAAAAAATCTGATTTGTGCCACTTCAACCTGCTAATGTGAACGTAGAACATGGCAAACTGATCGCATTTATGAGTTAAATGTTGAACTGTACTGTTACTTCAAGACTACATTTCATAACAGCGATGCAGTTCTTGACTTCACTGCACCTCTTGCGTTAAGCCTACCTGGTCAGCAGATGTTAGCTAACAGTTTAATAGGCCCTGCTAGTAATCAGGCACAGGTTTTCAAATTTTACTGAAATGGTCACAGAAAATTATAACATGCACGATATGTTTCCTACAAAGGCCTATTACAGCTGTTACATGATTGCCTGATTGTGGTTAGTTGAACTATTTGCAGTTATTTAAGGTGACTGTAATTATTTTTCACAGTTGTTAACTTTTACAATTGAATGTTTGTCACCACAAACGGATTTCATGAGGCTTTGAGCCTTGCAGACTGCTGAAAATCTGTCCTGCTCCGATCAGATATGCGGAAAAATCAGATTTGAGCTGCATGTCTGAACAAAGCCCTAAAGTGTTCATGTGTGTACCTTGTCTAAGGCCCAGTTCCTGAACCTGCTGCTGTGCCGCTGTTTCCAGCTGTGTTACCTGGAGAGGCATCCAGAAGAGGCTCAGAGCGAGTCGCCTGGAGACTCGCCCGTTCGTGTCCCTTCCCTGCTGAATCACGGCTTCCCCCTCAGTGTCAGCGCCCTGGTGTCCTTCCGCAGGGCGCCCACCCAGGGGCTGTTGCCAGGAGCAAAGGTCAGGTTGGGGAAATTACAAAGAAATGCAGTGAACGAAATGGCTCCTCGAATATTTGGCAAAAAGTTATGCTGCTAGTGTTTATCTGCTATGGTGCTGTAGTTAGGGGAAAACTTCACACTAGGCAAAGGCGAGCAAGCAGTAAAGTGCAGGGAGAAGAATGAACTAGTGTTCTGTGAAAGTGTTTTGTGGTATGCCAGGTTAAATTGATGTAAATTCCAGTTTAAGGAAGGTCCTATTACTGACTTTACCTGGGGCAGCGAAATCATTAAGGCCCAATCCCGTTTCACTCCTCGCCCTTAGCCTTCCGTTTTGCGTGTTCACGTCTAGGGGTCTAGGTGGAACAGGAAAAATGTGAACAAGAAGCTGGTGAAAATCTGACTTCAGCTTCATATCACTGAAGAATTAGGGGTGGGCGATAATAAATAATTGCCCCCTCTTTGAAGGCATATGATGCCCTAAATGTAACTAAAGCCCAGCAGTGAGGAGCTGAACTTTACCCTCCTCTGCTGTCACTGCAGACTGGCAGGGTCACCTACAGAGCAGCGCTGGTAGCTGTTAATGAAGTAATGTTCTTTTTATTTGAGGGTCTCATTTCATAGGGGAGATTTTTTTTTTTGCCATTGATTTCAAAAAGAGCAGTGCATGGACAGACAACTGACACCAGCAGCACATGGCTGTGTTTTGAAAATGATGCTCTTATTGTCCTTTGTGAGAGATCTTTTGATGGAAGAGATGCTGACATTACTGTGTCAGCTAATAGGAGACGGGTTAGGGTAGGAATTCAGTTAGTCAAAATAATGTCGAGTGAAATGGAAAAGAAACTGATCGTGCTGTCAGCTCCTATCTAGTACTGTGAAATCCATCTCTAAATCTGTGTTACAGCGAGGGGTTGTCTTTCCTTTTGGTTCCTTTTGAAGAGCAGCAACTGGCACCTTTTTTGCTTGTGAGCATTCACATTTAAATGTGTCTCCCAGTCACAGTGGATCTCTGCTCAAAAACATGTCTACAACAAACCAGCAATACACCTCTTAAGTAGGTCTCTATGGGTAAAATTAAAGGCATTCTCGAAAATCTTTGCTTTACCCTTTGGTAAATAGAAATGTTCCAAACTCGACAGGTTTTCTTATGTGTACATTTTCTCCTCAAAGTGACCGGATCATCTTAATTAGGAGATTGTTTAGGAGTCTAAATATGAATATCGCTACATGCACATTAACACTGCTGCACAGAATGACAAACTCACCAAGATACCAAACACAAACCAACGAGTTTCTTCAAGTGTGGTCGTTATGTTGCTTTGACAGTAGTGGTCTACGTTATATGTAGTTGGTGTTGATATAGAACGGTGTTGAGGTTTGATTAGAGCTAGGGAAGCCTGGCCACTTCCTATTTCACCCATTTTATCAAAAACGTGACAGCAAAATGCTAGAAGATGCTCAATGAATGGGGGTGAATGGAGCTAAAAACAAAAAATTAAATAGTTTGTAACCTAGGTTCAGGACCTTTCTTTAATTTTGAAAAAGTAGAAGGATGTATTTAACTTAAAAAAAACAAAAACATATCTGTGTGTTTCTTTTTTTTCTACAGCAAATGGGTTTTGGGCAGTAGGGCACTAGCATTACTACTGCTGATTGGTGGGCAAGCTGATCAGGTCATTGGCCAGGGGTGTCAAAAATTTAAAAACTAATCAAATTTGTGGAACAGAGAAAGAAATGTTTTTATTTCATTTTTAAGTAATGTGGTGCTGTAACCTAAACTGGCCAGTGTTTATTTAAAAATATGCAAAAACTTTAACAGTAAAATTCAGACGCTTGTAGTAGACCTTGAAATATAACATGAATACTTGAAATATTAAAAATTTAAATGTCCCCAGGTGCTCGGTCTTTTAAACCTACCTATTTGCTTAAACTAGACCCCTGGCATCCTTTCTTTGCTGCAAGTTCATTAAGACTTGGACTCAGTTTCTGAGCTGCTGAGCTGACGTTAAGTGTTTACACTGGCTGAACTGCAGCTGAAATGCATTTTGGTGATATGACTGGTGTGGAACTGTGTAGAATTGAGGTGTAACTGCTGTCCCATAGACTGTTGTTTGGGTAGGAGAGTCAGAGCACATTACATTGCAGTGCATGCTGGGGACTGTAGTGCAGCACATTGTGAAAAATACTTTTGCGGGCCGGATTGGATTGTGTGGTGGGTCTGATCTGGCCTGCGGGCCTTATGTTTGACACATAGTCTATAGCATTTGACCAACCCGGAAGACATTAGAGTGTCAGTTTTCTCTACGAACTCTCTAGTTTAAATACATATATTACACTGCAGCGTCATTTCAGCGTGCAGTGTTAGCATTATTTGTATTTTGACTCCTTTTTGACCCCATAATTCATAAAAATGTACACACAGGACAGAATGTACTAGATTTAGAACATTTCTGTTTACTACAGGGCATGATATTGGTGTCAAAAAGCAACTTTTTTTCCACTCCGTAGGCAAACAATCCACTGTTCCTAATATGGGACTGATGTGAACTACAGAATGATTTCAGAGGTCTATGCGTGTGAATACATATCAAATGTTCTTGTGAAAGCAGCCTAACTTCACTCGCCTAGAATCACTCTTGATTGAGGTTAATGGATCTGTGATGCTTGTTACTAGATGCCTGATTTTGTAACGTGTGATCCAGGTGTCCTCCACACCCAGCCCGGATCCTGTGAGCAATCCAGACGAGGTCTTCCTGACCTCCCCTACGCTCGTACGTAAGAAGGCCATCAGAGAGAAAGTGCTGCGCTCTGGCGCTTACCGCTCTTTTACTTGTACGCCTGTAAAACAGCGCCACCTGCAGGACCGGCTGAACCCTCCACAAGGTGGGACGAGTGTTCAAAGAACGCTGTCAAAAGTCAAAGAATTTCTTAGGTAATGCAGATCTTCAGTAATGATGGGCTATTCACTTAATCACAACGGGTTTGTAACGGAGGGCACTCAGATATCACTGGGATTTCACAGGTTTCATTTTTGTCATGGGTGTCTAATACAGCTCTGTTCACTTTAAACACAGCACTTGATTGTTTCCCTTCGTGTTTTCTAATGCTTAGTTGCTGTGTTGCGGTAAATATTCCTATGCTTCGTCGGGTTGTTCTAAAATAAACCATGTAAGGATAAATCCAAAACAGGACTTTTGCCAAATAAAATAAACTAGGGTATTTTAGGAGTATACTGGGGTTCCTATGGGAATCACAAAATTCCTTTTCTGTATGTGTGTATGTGTGTGTGTGTGTGTGTGTGTGTGTGTGTGTGCGTGCGTGCGTGCGTGCATGCACAACAGACAAGGGGCCGGACAGTACACCAGTGTTCAGGGTGCGCGCTCCAAGCTTGGCCGAAACCGAAGAAGCACTGGCTCATGCCGTGTGGAGCTGGGCTGGCATCTCTAGGTAAAATGCCCAGCACTGCGCACGTCTCCTTCTTTCATATTACCCAAAGAGCACATATTTACACTGTTTAAATAATGTATGAGGCATGTAGATGATTCATAAAGATATATCGGAATAACGTTTTTGGGATACAGTGCTTTCACTTCCTTCCTATGCAGTGTTCATACTTACTGTAACTGAACCGTAATTCTGACTGTTTTTCTGGGTCAATTGTTGCTGTATTTCTGTTTTTGCTCTTATTTTTTTTGTCTCCACCGAATTCTTAATTACAAACTTCCAGGTTATAGTAATATTTGAAGAATAACAGCTCTACATCAGACTGTAAACAAACAAAAGAAATGAGTTTGAAAGTATCACTGCTAAAAGGAAGTGGAAGTGAATTCATATATAGAAAAGCAGGAGTGGAGTGACTACTGTTTTTATGTAGTCTTAAGAGAGTACCAGTTTACTCTCAGGAACATTCTGCAACAACAGTTGGACTCCAGTCAGTTATTGTAAACCTACGTGGTGCTCCTATATGGTTGGTGATAGAATGGCCAAGGAGTTTAGGTACTAGATAGGTAGGTAGGTACATACGTACACTGATCAGGCACGACATTATGACCACCTCCTTGTTTCTACGCTCATTGTCCATTTTATCAGCTCCACTTACTATATAGGTGCACTTTGTAGTTCTACAGTTACAGACTGTAGTCCATCTGATCCACTCAGACCAGCACAACACACACTAACACACCACCACCACGTCAGTGTTACTGCAGTGCTGAGAATGATCCACCATCTCAAATAGTACCTGCTCTGTGAGGGTCCATGGGGTCCTGACCACTGAAGAACAGGGTAAAAGGGGGCTAACAAAGTATGCAGAGAAACAGATGGACTACAGTCTGTAACTGTAGAACTACAAAGTGCACCTATATAGTAAGTGGAGCTGATAAAATGGACAATGAGCGTAGAAACAAGGAGGTGGTCATAATGTCGTGCCTGATCAGTGTATGTACCTAATAGTGAGATTGTTTTTGATTGCACTGCTTTTCCTGATGTGAGCGAATGCATTTGGTGTTACAGTGACAGCAGTTCTTCACTGCTTGCTGAGGATGTCCTTGGTTCCTACTTGCTGTGTCCCCACCCTAAGAACCCCAGCATCGGATCTCTCCTTATACGCTTCCCTTCAGGCCTGGTCACTCTGACTATTGGGACCTCCAAAGGAAAAATTTTCCTTGAGGTGAGCCGTGGATCCACAGTCTCAGCTGTAGCTTAATGTTAATTTTTGAGGGAATCCTCTACAGACATTTAAGGAATAGAATACAAGAGGTTAATAACCTCAAGGCTGTGATCTGGTTGCTGTAGATCATCTGAGATAAAATGGACAATGAGCGTAGAAACAAGGAGGTGGTCATAATGTTATGTCTGATTGGTGTAGATATGACAACAATAATCCCGAAATCTTACATGGTGTAGCTTTAATAACATGAATAAAACGCTTTTCAACCAGAATGTGTAGTCAGAACTAACTATATATTGTATATTTTTCATGTTGTCTCTGCTATGCGAATTATTTTTGTTCCCTCTTTTTGCAGAAGTGCCACATTTTCTTTGAAAGCCTCATGGCTTTGATAGAGCACTACACCCAGTTCAGAGGAGAGCTGGAGTGTCCACTGAGTTGTGCTCGAGTCAACCACTGTTACGAATGGGAGGAGAACACGAGCACGAGTCCACGGTCACAGCAGGGGAGCAAACGAAACGACAAATACCAGTGCTGGGTCTAAATTATGTTGCATTTATTTTTAAATCCTTGTAATTGTTAATTGTTCAGTGTTTTAAGACTGATATGGGAGCTTATTTCACCTTTCTTTCACCCAACTTGTAGACACTTTTACTTTTTCCTGTTTTGATTTAAATGGACACTAAAGTTCTGCCGTTTGCCCAGCAAGATGCACTTCAAGCACAAGGGTGGTTAGGTGGTAGTGTAGTGGCCTAGTTATGATTTTTATTTTTGTTTGTTTGTTTGTTTCTCAGGAATAGACCCTTTATTTCTTTGTAAATGGAACACTGAACATTGCTCCTGCTATGAAACTGCCGCTTTGATTTAGAAAACCTGATCATTTTATGTGTGCTATGTATGTCCAAATGTATGGTCCAGCAGTTTTAAACATTTTTAGCTGTATTGTATGCCCAGGCACTGCTGCTTCCTTCATATGCTCTGCTCTGCAGTATAGAAAAGTTCCTTTTAAGGGAATTCACAGGTCGGACACAGAATGCAGATGTTGCCTATATCTCTTGTCAGTGGTGTTCAACGGTCTGTCTTGTCAGTGGTGTCAAATTATAGAGAACTGTAATGTAATCAGCTCTGCTTCAGATTGATAATTGCCACTTGATGTTAACCTTGCACCAGTTAAAACTTCATTCAGGAACTTTAACTACTTTTTTTAAAATAAGCAAATTACTGAAGCACTTTTTGAACAAAGGGATTTTTTTTTTCTTTCCCTGTTTGTTGTACACTTTCACAAGAGGATTTTATATAAACATTGTTTTTTACAGTCATTTGCCTTGTTTCTTTGTTTTTGCTGCAAGATGCTTTTTAACTTTTAATATCTGAACTGAGTATATTTCATTTTAGATGTTTTCAGTTGGTTACATTAGTTCCTCAAAACATAAGGCAGAAGGTAAGAGGCTATGTTTCTAGACAGTTTATTTAGGCTGGAATTATAAAATATCTGGATTTTAAATGACCCAACCTACTGTCATTTCAGGAAAGCCAAAGATGGACCGATCCAGTAGTGTGAGCTGGCTGTTTCTGGACTCTAAGATGGCCTCAGAGTCTGTGAAGGTGGTCATTAGATGCTGGCCATTGAATGACAGAGAGAAGACACTCAACTGTAAGCTGGTGGTGTCTGCTGACGCCAGCCGCTGTCAGTGCTTTATTGAGAAACCGGGAGCTGCTGAGGAGCCAATTTGGTTGAGGTGACTTTTTCCCGTGTTTCTTCTAGGAGAAGGGATAGACTCCCTTAATGATGAGACACCTTTTCCAGGCCTTTTATATCTATCTATCTATCTTTCTATATATATATATATATATATATATATTATCCTCATCCAACTCAGACAAAAGGCGGATTTTGTTTTTCATAAGCCATTCTGTTGTGGACTGCTACAGAGTTTCAGCTGACGTACAAACACTCACATTATCCTGTAGAATTTTTTGATACACTTGGAAATTCATCTTCCCCTCAATGATTGTAAGCTGGCCAGGCCCTGATGCAAATCATGATGTTCCCTCCACCATACTTTACGGTTGGGTTGATATTTTCATGGTGACGTGCAGTGCCTTTTTTATACCAGATGTAGCGCTGCATGTTCTTTCCAAATAGTTCAGTCTTAGTTTCATCTGTCTACAAAACATTTAGCCAGTACTGTTGTGGAGTGTCAATATGCTCTTTCGCAAACTTCAGGCGTGCAGCAATGTTCTTTTTAGTAAGCAGCAGCTTCCTTCGTGGTGTCCTGCCATAGACACCCTGCTTGGTCAAGGTTTTACGGACTGTAGACACACAGATGTTAGCCTGTACCAATGACGCCTTCAAATCTTTGGCTGTCACTCGAGGTTGTTTCTTCACCTCATTGATGAGTCTTCGTTGTGCTCTTGGGGTCTTTTTGACTGGGCGCCCACTTCTTGGCAGAGTAGCCACACTCCCAAATTATCTCCATTTGTAGATTGTTTGCCTTACTGTAGACTGGTGAATTTCTAAAGTCTTTGAAATCACTTTGTAACCCTCTCCAGCTTTATGTAGATCAACAATTTTTGATCGTGGATCTCCTGAAAGCTCTTTTTTTGCGAGGCATGGCTCACATACGCGTATCCTTCTTGTGCAGAGCAAACTCAAAATATTTGAGTGATTTTTGTCAGTCAAAGTAGCTCTAGTCCACACCGCCAAACTCATTTTTTTAACAAGACTCCAGGTATGCTAACACCTGACTCCAATTAGCTTTTTTGAGATCATTAACTCACAGGTTCACATACTTTATCCACTAGCACTATGAGGTTTTTATGGTTGTTCTCAATGAACACATGAATGATCAGTTTTTTTGTGTTATTATTTTGGGCACATTATATTTGTCAATACGCTTGATTAATGCAAAAAAAACCCATAAAATTTCAAAAGGTTCACATACTTTTTCTTGCCTGTGTGTGTGTATGTGTGTGTGTGTGTGTGTGTGTGTGTGTGTGTGTGTATATATATATATATATATATATATATATATATATATATATATATATATATATAATAATAATGATAAAATGGACAATGAGCATAGAAACAAAGAGGTGTTCATAATGTTATGCCTGATCGGTGTATGTGTGTTTTATATATTTTATATCAGCTCCACTTACTATATAGGTGCACTTTGTAGTTCTACAGACTGTAGTCCATCTGTTTCTCTGCATACTTTGTTAGCAAGACGCTTTTTAGCTTTTAATATTTGATATTTATTATTGAGTTAGCGCTTTTCTCGACTGAGGTCAGCTGTGTGGTCTTATCTATAGATCACCCAGACGGGGTTTTGAGCGGAACGCTGATCCTGGATCAGCGAAAAGAGCCAAACCGGCTCTGTGTGCGTTTTGGGTTGCTAAGCAACCGAGAACGCTGGGGCAGGAGCAAAATGGTCGATTAGCATTAGCGACACTAATAACCTCCTCTTTCGTGGCGCCTGGCTGCAGTTCTAATCTTGGAAAAGCCTTTGGAAATCACAGAATGGCGAATAAAATCAGTGTAAGGTCATTTTTTGTGGTAAACCTGTTGCTTAGCCTTAATAATAACACTAGAACTAAGGTTACAAGACTGCCGAGCTAATGCTAGCTGGCTGTTCATATAGACATCTTTCCTCGGTATCGTCCAGTAAGCTTGGTGAGCTGAACTATCCTCTTAGAAAAGATGGTTCTTTAGTACAGGGAATGGTTCTGTTTGCAACCATAGAACCATTTCATGCTTAAGTGGTTCCTGGAGTGGTGAAATGGTTCTTCAGAGTGATGGAGAATGTGTTGTATATGGTTCTATATAGCTAGAACCTCTTTAAAAATGATCCTATGGCTATATTGCTAGGACAACGTTTAAAAAGGATGACATGGTCCTACATGGAACTCATAGTGCTAGATAGAACCATTACCTTTACTGAAGAACCATCATTTTAGGAATGTGGCTCTCTAGTAAAACTAGATTATAAACTGGCTGAACTGATTATATTTCATTTTAGATGTTTTTAGTTGGTTACATCATTCCCTCAAAACATAATGCAGAAGGTAAGAGGCTGATATGTTTCTAAATAGTTTATTTAGGATGTAATTTTAAAATCCAGATATTTTAAATGACCCAACCTACTGTCATTTCAGGAAAGCCGAAGATACACTGATCCAGTAGTGTGAGCTGGCTGTTTCTGGACTCTAAGATGGCCTCAGAGTCTGTGAAGGTGGTTATTAGATGCCGGCCATTGAATGACAGAGAGAAGGCACTCAACTGTAAGCTGGTGGTGTCTGTTGACGCCAGCCACTGTCAGTGCTTTATTGAGAAACCGGGAGCTGCTGAGGAGCCACCCAAACAATTTACGTTTGATGGGACCTACTACATCAGTCAAACCACCGAGCAGATGTACAACGAGATCGCGTATCCTCTGGTTGAGGTGACTCTTTCCCGTGTTTCTCTGATAGGAAAAGGGATAGACTACCTTAATGATGAAGCATCTAGTTATTTGACTCCTTTTCCAGGTCTTATCTGAAACAGTATACCGTGACACATCTGGCCCAGACATAGGACCTTCTATCTAATGAAATGTGGCTAGATCTACTGTAATAAAGATCAATTGACATGACACAAAGGAAGATCTGTATATTAATATGTATATATAAGCGTTGGTGGATGAGCAGGTCCTAAAGGGTGTGATTTTGTAACGCTTACCTGCAAGTGCATTCTCGTAATTCAGTCTATTTGCTTTTTTATTTAAATGCACTTTAACAATAGGGGGTAACTGAGGGATACAATGGGACAATCTTCGCCTATGGACAAACAGGGAGTGGCAAGTCGTTCACCATGCAAGGTGTGGCGGACCCCCCAGCTCAGAGAGGGGTCATACCAAGAGCGTTTGAGCACATTTTTGAGACAATCCAGGTAAGGAACAAGTTAAGCAAGATGCCTGATCCAGAATCACTTTTTTGGCCAAGTTCTCTTTATGTAAGTACAGAATGTAAATAGTAATCAAATAAGTGCAATTGATTCGATTTTTGAATTTATTATTTTTTTTATTGAAGACACAAATCATATAGCAAAATATACATATTCCCAGTGTGTAAACTAAATGTTCAGGGTAGATACAACAACATAGGTCAAGGACAATGTAGATGGAACTTTATTGATCCCGAAGGGAAATTGCAGCGTTACAGTAGCAAGACATATAATAAACTTACATATATTAGGCAGAAATAAAATAGGAATAAAAACAGACATAATTAGGCAGAAATAGAAAAATAGGCATACATTAAAGTAAATTATGAGAGAGCAGGTGTGTGTGTGTGTGTATGTATGTGTGTATGTGTGTATATATATATATATAGCATATTTCCATAGCAAATAAGATTTGTTGTATTTACATGAGAGCAGGTGTTGCACTTAGTGGTATGAGGTAGTTACAACACAATGAATATAAGCATAACTATGAATATCGGCAATTTATCTAATAGATATACAATATAGCAATATTTGTAACATGCAGCAACCATAGTTTATTATTATTTTGGTATATATTGAAAATTTTATTATCTGGATGTTATAGCAAATCATCATATTTCCTTCCTCTAACTCTATTGATTGGATGATAAAGAGAAAAGATCAAGATATACAGAAATGGTAGGATGCGCATAAGGTTAAACAACAGGATGTGTGTTTAAGTGTGCAGAAGACACAAAATTCCTTGTGCGGGCCTCATACCTCGAGATCTATAAAGAGGAAATAAGGGACCTTCTGGGGAAAGACGCCAAACAGAAGCTGGAGGTATGTTGACATTCACTATATATCATATACTTTTTGTATATGATTTATGTATTTTTACATGTGAAACACATTTCAAGTATGCAAGCCAAACATTTTAATGTATTTCTAGGATATATTGACTGTATACAAAACATTTTACCTTAAATTAGAGACTTGTAAATGTTAACAATTGTACATTTAACATGGCAAAAGCAAATGTTCTAACATTGTACAATTTTTGTTTATTTACTGTGTCAGTAGCATCACACCATTATAATGTAATGTAACATAACATACAGTATAAATACAAAAGCAAAGATATAGTCATATGCCAAAGTTTGGGCGCCACTGGTCAAATGACATGTTTTGTTTATTTTCTATGTGAAAAAAAGGTAACACATTCTTTAGGGCAGAGTTGTTGAAAGCGGTCCTCAGGGCCCTCCGGACAGTCCATGTTTTTGCCCCAACCTATCTCACAGTGCATACTAGTTTGCAGACCTCTACAGACAACACGCCTTTGCTCATTTTAATGCACCATTACTGGTTATTTGCTAAGTTTAACATATTGGGAAAAAATAAAACAATAAATGTAGCCTGTGTAAAAAAAAAAAAAAATTAGGTTGTTTTTTTTTCCCAATATTTTAATTTCAGCAAATAAATAGAAATTGTGCACTAAAATTAGCAGAAAAATGCCTAATTTAAGTTTGTTCTCTATAGAGGATATGTTATTAATATTAGCCTGTTTCACTTCGTGCTGCACTACAATCCCCAGCATGCACTGTAATGCATTGTAATGTAGCCTATTGTAATGTGCATAATGTTGTGTACTGTAGCCTAATTATAGCTCAGATTATAGCAAAACAGTCAAATAAAATCACAGCCGTTCTCTGGCCCACAGATTTGTAGAGATTTTTTAATATGGCCCTTTTAGTGGTTAAGTTTGACTGAAGTATGAGATGTATAGCTGCTATGTTTTTGTGTGTTTCCCAGCTGAAGGAGCACCCGGAGCGGGGTGTGTATGTGCGAGACTTGTCCATGCACACGGTGCACAGTGTGGCGGAGTGTGAGCGGATCATGGAGCTAGGCTGGAAAAATCGCTCAGTGGGATATACGCTCATGAACAAAGACTCATCTCGCTCCCACTCCATATTCACCATCCACCTGGAGATCTACAACACAGGTGTGATGTCATACACACACACAAGCACGCACACCTGAACACATTACAACAAAGAAGCGTTACTTCTCTAAAAACGTCACCCATGAATTCACTCATATAGAGTGTTGTGTCATGTATGACATAGGCAGTGGGGAACCATCAAGGCCTTCAAAGAAGGTCTAATAATTTCTGGAAAATAAGAAAATACTTTATTAATTAATACTAATTTTTAGTTGATTATTTATTAGAATCATCATGCTTGTTGTATTTAGACTCTTGAAGTATTGTTGTAATACTCTTATTTCATTGTTTTTGGAAACAAATCTGCCCAATGGAAAAATTAGCAGAGCAGGATTTCTTTCCTAGACCTAATGTGGCAGATTAACTACCAACATAATTAGGAAGTGACAGTGGAATCAGGCAGTCATGTTTGATTTAAAATGGGTGAAACCAATTTTGAGAGGCAAAAATGTCTCTGTACCAAAGCTGGTCTCTGAGGATTTGATTTGGCCCTCTATAAAATTATCCTAACACCATCCCCTCACCCAAAGAGAAAAAAACATATTTTTTATACTCTATATAACTTATTAATTTATATTTCATTAACAAAGTATAGTGAAATGGTATGCATGTTTAACAACCTACACCGATCAGGCCTTGTTTCTACGCTCATTGTCCATTTTATCAGCTCCTTTTACTACCTATATAGTAAGTGGAGCTGATAAAATGGACAATGAGCCTAGAAACAAGGATTGTTTGCCTGATTGTTGTACTTTAAAAAAACTACCATCCATACATCATCTAAACCGCTTCTGGGTCACGGTGGGGTGCTGGAGCCTATCCCAGCTGTCATCGGGCGGAAGGCAGGATACACCCTGGACAGGTCGCCAGTCCATCGCAGGGCAGACAAACAGACATATACATCCACACACACTCACACCTAGGGGCAATTTAGCATGTCCAATTGGCCTGACTGCATGTTTTTGGACTGTGGGAGGAAACCGGAGTACCCGGAGGAAACCCACGCAGACACGGGGAGAACATGCACACAGAAACGACCCTGGTCACCCGGCCGGTAATTGAACCCAGGCCCTTCTTGCTGTGAGGCGACAGCGCTACCCACTGCGCCACCGTGCCGCCCCTTAATAATAATAATAATAAAACCTACTTTCTTTATTTGTATGTTGTTTTGTCTTTTTGGCCTCAAGACAAAAGGTTTGGGCACCCCTGCTCTAGACCTTCTATAAGTCTTAGATATGTACCTGACTGCGAATACCCGCAGTAGTCTAACCAGGTTTCTGTCACTTGTTAGAAATGGAAAACAGTGGCAGTTCTATTTCAGGACAGAAAGAATCACTGTAAAATTCCAACATGCAATAAAATCTGTGTTAATATGTCTCTTACAAGCTTAAAATAAAACACTTGACAAGCTCAAATGTCTGCAATTAATAGCTAAAAAAAACTTCGCACTAACATACTACTATAATCACATATTGTGATTGTTGGGAAGCCAGAGATTTGCGTCTGTACTATGAAATGAGTCCATGTCTTTCTGATACTCAGATGCTGCGGGTAAAGACCACTTGCGAGCTGGCAAGCTCAACTTAGTGGACCTGGCCGGCAGTGAGCGCCAGTCCAAGACCGGCGCCACAGGGGACCGTCTTCAAGAGGCCACCAAAATCAACCTGTCCCTGTCTGCGCTGGGCAACGTCATCTCGGCGCTGGTTGATGGACGCTCTAAGCACATCCCGTACCGCGACTCCAAGTTGACGCGGCTGCTGCAGGACTCTTTGGGTGGTAACACACGCACACTCATGGTTGCCTGCCTCTCTCCTGCTGACAACAACTATGAGGAGAGCCTGAGTACCCTGCGCTACGCTAACCGCGCCAAGAGCATCCAAAACCGCCCCCGCATCAACGAGGATCCAAAGGATGCCCTACTGCGAGAGTACCAGGAGGAGATCAAGCAGCTACGGGCACTCATCTCTGGCCAGCTGGGCACTGCCAGCCTCAACTGTAAGCACTGACACAGACAAAGCGGTATTGATTTGTACCTGGCCGATATTAGAAGATAATGCTGGATTGGATATTGGAGAATGAATCCGATCCAGTCCTGTATCAAATCTAGCCTAAAATAGCATGCGCTCACACCAAGCCATGTCATGTAGTATGTTATGTATTTCTTTCTGTGTTGTAGTATGTTGAGTGGTTTAGGCATGATAGCTCGCTTTTGGATGCTTTTAAGTGAAGTGCTTCAATGAGAAATAGTTCATTTTAAAGCTTAATATTTTTTTAAAGAAGAAATATCGGAATGGAATCTGCTAATGGGTCATTCTACAGAAACGTCCACTTTTCTATGCATCTATAGGTGTCACTGGTGTTACCAATCCTCACTGGTAACACCAGAGACATTTTTAATGAAAAATGCATTTTATAAAATGGCTGCTACAGAGCATCAAACCACATGTTGACAATCATGGAATATCCACTAAAATATGGAATTTAATCCATTTGTATTCTATTTTTTCATAATTACCTCAGAATAAAGTCGGTCACACCAGTGACTTCAACTAAAAGCTTCATATGAAATCATGAGCTAAATGAGAAAAACTCTGATAACTGAAAGACACAGTGGACTCACCATGTGCTTTCCTTCATAGATCCTCAGAAAACAGGTAAAAGGAAGTCGTGATGTCATCAGTGTGATTTTTATTTCAAAATAAGAGTTTTTTGTGACGCGATAACACCAATGACACGACTCCTGGGGACAACTTTCAATATTTATTTGGCATTTGTTTTCTTTGTCATTTAATTTATATTCCATATATTCCATAGTCATGTATAGATTATTATAGTTAAAATTGCAGAATTTTTTTTTTCTTCAAAATATGGCCTCAGCCTTGACTTGACTTTGGGGACAAGCACTTCTGTGGTGCTTGGAATTCTATATAATTGATTAAAAACCAATATTGCTAAATTGAGGCTCAAGAAGGTGTAATTGTTAAAAATAATGTATTGTTTTAGTTTAAGATATAAATAAATTGTAACCCTAACATGTTTAAGTGTAATATACCTGTAAACGCTAGGGACAAAAGAAATGGACGTTTCTGTAAAATGACCCTAATATTCAAAGTTTCTGTATCGGTTTTGGAAAGAAAAAATGGTAATTTTACCATCTCCATTCTTCAGAGAATAGTTTTGAAAAAAAAATACAATAATTAACATGTTTTGTATGTGAGAGGATGCTTCTGCGTTTTTGTTCTGGAGCTACAAGGCTAAGGTAGCTAACAAATAATTGAGGTTTGTAGCCGCAAAGTTTGCATCATGCAAACTGTGTGACTAAATCATCATACGTTTGCCTCAAACCACAGAAAGTTGAGTAAACTCAAATTGACTTGTTTATGTAGTTTCTTTAAAGACTGTATGATGTACTGTTGTCTATAAAGATGTGATTTGTGTGAAGATAAACCTTAAGGGAAAAATTAGGCAAAAAGGCAGATTTACTCTGTGAATGACACCCTGTCTCTAGAAAAATGAGAAAATGTACAGTACTGTGCAGAAGTTTGAGATCACCCTTTATTTATTTATTTATTTTCCTGTCAAAATGTTCATTAAATACAAGGTATTCCTTATTCAGCCTCAGGAAAAAAGCAGAAAACATGAAATTACCCAGATGCTATAACAACTTAATATCATACCAGGGCCTGTACAGTTGTTAGGAGTTCCAATTTTTCCATATTTAGACGCCAGTTTTGGAAACTCATGTTTCCTTATGCAAATGGATTGTTTTATATCTAATCTCCTCAGACATATCGGAAATTAATCATTTGTACTTAATGGCCATTTTTGACTGGAAATTAAATAAATCAAAGATGGTCTCTGACTATGACACAGTATTGTATGGGGCAGTCATGGGCTGGGGGTCAGGGAACCAGCCCTGTGGCCGATTCCCCTGAGCCGACAGTAAGTGTCTGAAGTGCCCTTGATCAAGACACCTAACCCCCAACTGCTCCCCAGGCACCGTGGATAGGGCTGCCCACTGCTCTGGGCAAGTGTGGCCCCTAGTGTGTATGTGCTCACTAGTGTGTGTGTGTGTGTGTGTGTGTGTGTGTGTGTGAGTGTGTAGCCTTGTAGCTCCAGTACAAAACTAAACAAGCGAATTTCAGACACCAAACGTGTTTTGGCTGATCACTGTCTGTAGTATTACTATCAAACTTTACGTCAAATTAAAGCATCCGTGTGTTATTGAAGAGTGTGGCTAATAACAAATCAAAGCCTGCAGGAGCCAGTTAGTATATTAGTCCGTGTAATTGTAGCAACACTAGCATGTTTTGTGTCAAATTACTTTAATAATTTTGTTCTTGTCTCCTAAAAGTGGGGGAGTAAATACTGAACCCCTCTGTATTTTACTATCTCAGCTTTGTTAGCAAGTCAGAAGTCAGAAGGGGCCTCAGCTCTCCAGTCCAGACCCCAGAGCAGCACTGTGGAGAGTGAAGCAGAGAAGGAGAAGATTAAACAGGTGGGTGGAAGATTAAACTGAGATGAAGCGTTCACTTAAAATGGAAAGTGTTGCTAATCACTTAACCCTGTTACCTCTCCAGTCCCGGATTAAGCCCAGTCTTAGACTAAAATCTACTACTAGTACTTCTGTCTGCTGCATGTGTGCAGGAGTATGAAGAGAAGCTCGCTCGGCTGCAGGCGGACTACGATGCAGAGCAGGAATCCAAAGCTAAGCTGCAGGAGGACATCACTGCCTTGAGAACATCCTATGAGATCAAGCTGTCCAGTCTGGAGAGGTCCAAAGCTAGCGGAGCACATAATACTGGTAGGTACAGTGTAGCATGTCAAGTGTGGCCTTTACAAAGTTCAAACCAACTGATTAATATTCACAGTATTAATAATATTCAGTATGAAGTGTGAGACTACACTATATGTCCAAAGGTATCCAGGCACCCCTTATAATTAGTAAAAATGACCCCTTTGAGATGACACAGGTGTTTAATTGCACACACAGCTTGTGTAATCTCCATAGAAATTGCCAATAGAACAGGATGTGCTGGAACAGCTGCAGATGAGCCCAAAAGGTTACCATGCCCAATGCCAAGTGCTAGACAGAGGGGTTTATATACAGGGTGATTCAAAAAGATTCATCTGATTTCAAAATGATTTATTTCACTTGTAGGTCATTACAGAACAATGCAGTAAACTGTAAATGGTGTAAACATCAACGGCATAGTCAAATTTATCCCATACTCCATTGAGCATGTCGGGTGTCGCTGCACTCACGGCTCTTTCAGTGCGATTTCGGAGATCAACCGGTATTGTGGAACCAGCGACTGCCGAGTAAAATCACGCTGCACAGTTATGACGGATTCACTCTTATTGAAGTGGAGAACGCAGAATGCTTACTGCTCATGAGTCTCATCTCCTCACAGACTGAAGGGAGCCATCTTCCACTGACAGTCAGAAGCTCTGTAACCCCCTCTTTCAATTAGTATGTGATTGGTTCCTAGACGCCTCATGGTTGTAAAAATATGCCACTTTGAAATCGGATTAATCTTTTTGAATCGCCCTGTATATGTGGAGCAGTGGTATTGCACTCTCTGGAGTGATGGAGCTCCATCCAGTACCTCTGGGACATTAGTATCTGACTTCACTAATGCTTCTCTCGTTGAACACAATCAGATCTTCACAGCATTGTTCCAACATCTAGTGTAAAGTCCTCCCAGTAGAGGCTATTGCGACAGGAAAGGGGAGACAAACTCCCATAAACGGGTGTCTGTAAACTTTTGGGCATGTAGTGCATTACTGCCTGTTGTTCATGTTAGTCTAGATTTGCAAAGGTAGTGTTATGAACCTTTGTAGTGTAGTGTAATTGTTGTGTAATTGTTTGTATTGCTTTATTTTACCCTGCATTTTTTCATCTCTCTGCTTTGCTCCAGCAGATAACTCTTGCAGCGAGGAGGTCAGTCCTCTCAATGGGTCAACACCCGAACCCTCACACGCTGCCCAAGAAGAAATCAAAGTACAGGTCAGCATATTTTCACCTGCTCATGAAAGAATTTAAAATCCTGTCTGTTTGTATATAAACACAGATAATTTTAGTAAAAGGCTTTACTGTGGCATGTTGTATTTCTCACAGGAGTATGAATGCTCTCAGGAGAGCGGCATCAGAGTGGGTCCAGGGGGAGAGCCAGTGGTTGTTGCTACACCAGGCCCGCTGGACCAGAAACATGTTTTGGAGAGGTGAGGTGACACACTGAGCAACAGAGCTATCTTTCAGTGGAGGAAGTCTTGTGATGAAAGTGTATGTGCTCTTACATGGATTACGTCATAAAATTGTGACAGATCTGCCAAAATGAAAATAATATATTGTCTCATGTCTGATTTCGAGTTATAAGCAAAAATCTGCTGATTCCGATCTTGGCAGATTCAGACTGTCAGATTATCCTCAGTAATATTTTTTTCATTGGTATTGTATGGAGTTTACCTGTTATATTATTATTATTATTATTATTATTATTATTATTATTGTTATTATGTAATAGTTTTAGTGACATTATTATATTATTATAATAACATGTTTTATACATTATATCGCTGCTGTCGGAACAAAACCTTGTATCTCCATTTTTGTCATTTTTCAGTTTTTTTACATAATTTGAAAATACCTGTTGTCCTTTGCATTGTTTGATGAACAGACTAAAACAAATGACCCAAAATGACATGGAAAAATATCTAGTTCCGTCGACTTACATTAAAAGTAAAGTATGGTTTTTTTGTTTTTTTGTTTTTTTTCCTGTAAAGTTACTAGTTTGGAGATATGAGGTTTTGATCCGACAGCAGCGATATATATGTAAAAATGTATATATGTATCCATTCATCATGAAATTTTAATACAATATCAATGGCAGATGGTGATTTTAAATAATGTCAAAAAATGGAAAATATCAAAAATGGGGATACAAGGTTTTGTCCAGACAGCAACTATAAACCGATCAGGCATAACATTATGACCACCTCCTTGTTTCTATGTTCATTGTCCATTTTATCAGCTCCACTTACTATATAGGTGCACTTTGTAGTTCTACAGTTACAGACTGTAGTCCATCTGTTTCTCTGCATACTTTGTTAGCCCCCTTTTACCCTGTTCTTCAGTGGTCAGGACCCCCATGGACCCTCACAGAGCAGGTACTATTTGGGTTGTAAATCATTCTCAGCACTGCAGTAACACTGACATGGTGGTGGTGTGTTAGTGTGTGTTGTGCTGGTATGAGTGGATCAGACACAGCAGTGCTGCTGGAGTTTTTAAACACTGTGTCCACTCACTGTCCACTCTATTAGACACTCCTACCTTGTTGGTCCACCTTGTAGATGTAAAGTCAGAGACGATAGCTCATCTGCTGCTGCTTAGTTTGTGCTGGTCATCCTCTAGTCCTTCATCAGTGGTCACAGGACGCTGCCCACAGGACGCTGTTGGCTGTATATTTTTGGTTGGTGGACTATTCTCAGTCCAGCAGTGACACTGAGGTGTTTAAAAACTCCAGCAGCACTGCTGTGTCTGATCCACTCAGACCAGCACAACACACACTGACACACCACCACCACGTCAGTGTTACTGCAGTGCTGAGAATGATCCACCACCCAAATAGTACCAGTTCTGTGAGGGTCCATGGGGGTCCTGACCACTGAAGAACAGGGTAAAAGGAGGCTAACAAAGTATGCAGAGAAACAGATGGACTACAGTCTGTAACTGTAGAACTACAAAGTGCACCTATATAGTAAGTGGAGCTGATAAAATGGACAATGAGCCTAGAAACAAAGAGGGGGTCATAATGTTATGCCTGATCAGTGTATATACAGTGTAATAACCCATGACTGTTGAAGACTATTGTTGTCTTCTTTGTTAATTATATTGTGCAAAATCACTTTATTCCTTTAAGAAAGATGGTGTAGCTGATGACAAACACAATGAACTGATGATGAAGCCTAGATGCTAATGAGAGCTGTTGATTGTCCGACAGGCTTCAGCAACTGGAGCAGGAGTTTGTAGGGGGCGAGCAGGCCCGGAATGAGGAGCTGAGGCAGCGTCGGAGGCAGAGAAAGACTCTGGCCAACCAGAGGAAGAAGCAGCTGATTGAGGCGCTGAGACAGGGCAGTGAAGACGGCGATAGTGTGCTGCTCAACGTCTATGACTCCATCCAGGAGGAGATCCATGCTAAGAACAAACTGCTGGAGAACATGCAGAACAAGGTGGGATTTCAGCACTAATTTGTTTGTGTATTTGTCTGTCCATGTGGATATTTCATAACACAGAGGACATTTGTCAGTCAGTCTTAGTGGTGAGAGTAAATGATACATTTCAATGTCATTATATTTTACAAATAAGTCACAATATTATGGTTTTGGATGAAAGCAGGCATTTTAACCTATGGACTTACCCAAAGTACCCCGAACGAGGCCTCTGATGATTTTATCCATACACACACTAATGATTTTTATCTTCTGCATATGTCTTTTTCATATCTGTGACTACTTATTGGCCATATAGGAATATATGTAAAATATCTGATCTGATGCAGATCATTGACTCTATTGTATGCTTTTGACTTGGAAGTTAGAATTAACTATTTGAGGCATCAGCTTTAGCTAGCCTGCCTGTTTATGTAAAGTCTTTGTGAAAATGTAACTTAACATTAGCATTAAGCTGACTGCTGTCTTCCTTACTGACAGAATTTTCTCATACCTTGTGCCTAAAATCCCCTTGACTGCTGAAAAATAACTGAAATAATTATACTATAGACTAGGGCTGGGCAATATTGACAATAATTATCGTTATCGTCATAAATTATGTCACAAAATGCCTTTCTAAGCATATCATGGATATCATAAAAACACTGGCACAAAGAACAGGTCCTCTCCAGAATCAGTTTCAACCAGAGAATGAGCTGTGAGATTAAATAGCCTTTAGCAAGAGTTCTCAATTGTTATGCTTGTGGAAAAAAGAAGGAAGGGATCCTTTTGGCAAATTATGTATTTACTGTTTTAGCCTTTTGATATATAGTGTAATCATAAGATTGCTTGCAATGCATTGGCCCCTGAACTCTTCAGAAAGGGAGTTGTTTCAAGCAATATTATACCTTCTCTGCACTGTCCATTGCAAATGTAGCAGTTAGTATGATGCCATTGCCATCATACTAGGAGCTTTAGAACGTGTGTAGCCAAACTGGATCTCAGCACAACAGATTGTGTTTGTCCAGTCTTTCTCAATTCATGGTCTAAAACGTGTTTTCTTCCTGTGATCCCTTTGCCTCGGGACAGCTCAAAGCCGCCAAGCTGGAGATCCGGGACCTGCAGGCAGAATTTGAGACAGAGCGGGACGACTACCTCGCCACCATCAGGCGTCTGGAGCGCGAGACGCAGCTGCAGCAAGCCATCCTGGAGCGCATGGTGGGCTTGGTACGTCGAGACTGCAACTACAGCAACCTGGACCGTCTGCGGAAGGAGGCAGTATGGGATGAGGAGAGCGGTGTGTGGAGGCTGCCTGAAGTGCTGGTGCAGAAGACAGCACTACCTGCAGGTGAGGTCAGGGCCTAATACCAGGTCAAGGAAAATTGTCAATTGCATGATGCTTGATTAATAAACAACTGTCTTAGCTTTGTGAGTTATCACTTTTTAAATGTTACTGAAGTTGAGCATTAAAAGGCATCTGAAATAAGAGTATTAAAGCAGAAGTTTGGTGGCAAATCAAATTTACATCATTTTCTCCCTACTCTAGATGTAGTCATTTGGCCAAGACATGTTTTGTTTCTGAATTCATGCACCCTGCAGGACTAAATCATCGCACACTTGCCTCGAACTATGTTAAGTAATGTCAGATAAGACTTGCTTATGTGGTTTCTGACACTGCATGGTTTACTGTTATCTATAAACTTGTTTTTAGCTACGCAATATACATTTGTCCATTTTTACGCAGAAAGTTTTCTAAATTAGAGGAAAGGTTGCAGTCGCAAAGGCGGTTTTTCCACTGCATGTTCTAGGACAAAAACCGATCCAGTAAGGACCCAACAGGATTTTATGGTTCTAGTTCTAGATCATGTTTCACCTGCTTCAGAGACAGCTGAAACGGTCATAAGAACCGTGATTAAAAATGTAATGTCTCTTTGCATGTTTTATTCCCCTCTAAAGCATCTAATTTGGCTAATTAGCTACCTTGCATCCTTGCATCTCAGGATTAAATCAGCCACAACTTCCTTATTACTCAACTGATTTTCACCAGATTTGTTTTGTTATAATCCTCAGAGACAGATTAATCCAGGCTGCACGGATCTGCTCTCGGTAGCTTTGATTTCTTTAATAACTGATCGTGCTAATTAGCTGTCCGGACCAGCAGGAAAGTATTCAGTCTGTACCTGACGTTAAAAACTGAGTTTAGTATGAGAAACACAATCAGTACACATCAGCAAATCCATCAATGTGTGAATCACTTCTAATCTTAATACACAGAAGGATGAAGCTAAAGTTGGCTTCCTATTCGCCAGCTTCCTGTTCCACCTTAAATTGTGCATCAGCCAGCTTCTTGTTCGAATTTTCCCGTTCCACCTTAAATGGTGCAGCAGTCACTTTCTGGTAAGAAAAGGAAAAAAAAAGGAAAGTTTGAACAAGAAGCTGGCTGATGCACCATGTAAGGTGGAACGGGAAAATTCAAACAAGAAGCTGGCAAATAGAAGCTAACTTCAGGTTTGTGTAAGAAGGCACTAATATTAATCTATTATGAATATCTACACAGATTAAGGAATGCAGTAACTACAAAGCATTAACCATCATTGTAAATAAATAACTTCTACATAAAGTTAAGATCCCCTGAAAAGACCATTAAATAAAATAGGCTTAATATAAAACCAGAGGAAAAACAATCACATCAACAGGTTCTCTGTGCCTCATTAACCACACGACCTTATCTACATAAACATCACACAAACAATACACATCACACAGACATGAGAGTGGATCACTGCGTTCCCTCCGTTATATAATCCTATCCCCCTTTCTGAGAGTAATATTCCTGAAATAGTGTAATTTTGGACAGTATCTTTCTCAAACTGCCGCTCTGTAATGGTACTGAATGCAGTCCAGCAGCGATGTTGACCGCCCTAAAATGGCGGCACCATTGATGTGCCTGGCTGGACCCAACGCGGCATCTAGGTATGTATATCTATGGTTGTACAGACCTGAAATAAAATGGTGTGCTTCGGCATTTACAAAGAATGAGGTGTGGAATCAAACCAACCTTTTATTTTTCTCTGCTGAGTGGAAAAAAAGAGCAATTACATGATTCAGCTCATCCAAAACTCACTCACTCTCTTTCACACACACACACAGCAATGTCTAAAATATCATTTTTTTTATTTCTTACTCTTATTTACATGCTATACCGGCAATAACAAAGGTAGCTAAGTAGTGATAAAATGAAAACTTATCTTAAATGTCACATAATCATGACAGTCAATATGCTATAAAGCTAGGTAAGTTAAGGTCAGCGTTTCTCACGGCCCACCTGAATGAATATCCTCCGTAAGTAGCTTTTTTATTTTCTCGTCTTCTCTGTGCCACTTTGATATTTTTTTTTCCAGTTCTTGCTACTGCTGTATATCCTTATAATTTACATATAAACATTTCTACACTGGTATTACAAAAAAGCAATGAACTCTGTAGAGCACTGCCTGTTTTGTCAGCCAGCATGGTGAATTTGATCCGGTAATCTTTTGAGATTGATGTTAACTTCTTAGTCGAATTTCCGGTCCACTTTAAATAGTGCAGCAGTTACACGCTGGTTCCCATACAGGCGTTTAAATGTAACTGCTACGTTATTTAACATGGAACAGGAAATGAGAAACAGACATTAACTTCAGCTTTATTTCATCTCCGTCCACTGTATGAGACTCATTACAGTTACAATCAGCAAACTGGGACTAGACCACTTAAAGAGGGTGCACTGGTTCAACCCGGACTTACTACACATATACACTTGGATGTAACATTTATAGTTTGTCTCACAGTAACTGGCCCAAAATGCTGCCGGCCCACCGGGAATTCTCCCCACTCTCTCGATTAGCCACTGGATTGAGGGTGGGTGGAAAAAGGACGTTTCCTGTTTTCTGGTGCCAAAGATTCTGATACAGTTGTGCAGTGGAAACATAACCCCCAGCATTCTTATTAATAGGTGTTCGTCTATGACACAGCTTATCTAAGTTGTGAAGTTCTAACTTGTGGTTTGGCTGGACTAATGGTTACTGATGAGTTTCTCTATTCCAGTGATAATACTGATGTTGAAACCTTGAGTACTGACCAGTACCAACCCTGATTTTAAAATGAGCTTTTTTTATTTGAAGCTCTCATCTAAGGGTGCTTTCACACCTGCCCTGTGCGGACATCTTTAGTTCGGTCTAAACACTCCACATGAACTCATGCGCATGGTAAACACATGAACCATGGTCCTACAGAAATTGCAGGTCTCGGTTCACTTTCAAAGTAACCCTGGTTCAGTTCACTTTTGTTGGGAACGAGAAAATTCAACATCAGAATATGTTTTTCCTGCTTCTTGTAGCAGCGTGTCAGCACTGTACTGCACCGTATTGACGTCTGACTCTTCACAGACACTGTTATAGTTTCTGTAGCACAGGCTGCTGCTGATAATGTCAGAGCAATAAAGTAATAGGTAAGCAGTGCGTTTGATTTTAGCAAATGGATTGCGTAACGTATTGCATCAACAACCTGATTGTTTAAATTCAGATTGACAAATCAGTCATAAAGAAGCAGATATCAAGTAAGGGTCATTATTACTGTTGTGTCGATTGTGAAACACACACGTTAAGCTTCTCTATTTTAATTAAAAAAAAATTTTTTGTCTCAAATGGTGGCAAATGTGAGAGCAACAGAGCAGTTATATCCCTGTAGAATTTCTAACCAATAAACAAGCACTTGTGTATGATTTAATGCACTTCAGCCGTTGTGAAAGCAACCTAACCAAATGAACAATATACACTGTTGCAAAAACTCAACTCTGGTTTGAAATTTAGCAAAAGAACTAGGTGTGAGTAGTCTATCATGCTCAAAGTGCTACAACCCTACTTCCAAATAAAGTTGGGACGCTGTGCAAAATGTAAATAAAAACAAAATGCAATGATGTGCAAATCATTTAAACCCTATATTTGATTGAAAATAGTACAAAGACAACATATCAAATGTTGAAACAGAGAAATGTTATTGTTTTTTGAAAAATATTTGGCCATTTTGAATTTGATGCCAACAACATATTCCAAAAAAGTTGGGAAGGGGGCAACAAAAGGCTGGTAAAGTTGTGTAATGTTAAAAAAAAAACAAAAAAAAAAACAGCTGGTGCTTGATTGACAACAGGTCAGTAACATGATTGGGTACATAAACAGGATCCAGAAATGCTGCCACCTTCTCTGGGCCTGAGCTCATTTAAAATGGACTGAGGGGAAGTGGAAAAGTGTCCTGTGGTCTGACGAATCAACATTTGAAATTCTTTTTGGAAATCATGGACACTGTGTCGTCTGGGCTAAAGACCACTCAGCTTGTTATCAGTGCACAGTTCAAAAGCCAGTATTCATAGGCGCCATTAATGCTGAACGATATATATACATGTTTTGGCAACATATGCTGCCATTCAGTCGACATCTTTTTCAGGGAAGGCTTTGATTATTTCAGCAAGACAATGTCAAACCACATTCTGCATGTATTACAGCAGCATTGCTCCGTATTAAGAGTCCAAGTGCGAAACTGACCTGCCTGCAGTCCAGACCCATCACCACTGAAAACATTTGGTGCATTATGAAATGAAAGATATGACAAGGGTGAGGCTGAATTGTTGAGCAGCTGAAATCCTATATCAAACAAGAATGGGAAAACATTTCACTTTCAAAACTACAGCAGTGTCTCCTCAGTTCCCAAACACTTACAGAGTGATGGTAAAAGAAGAGGTGATGAAACACAGTGGTAAACAGGCCCCCGTCCCAACGTGCTGTTGGCATCAAATTCAAAATGGGCATATATTTCTGAAAAAACAATAATTTTTTTCAGTTTCAACATTGGATTTGTACTAATTTCAGTTAAATATAGGGTTTAAATGATTTGCACATCATTGCATTTTGTTTTTATTTACAATTTGCACATCATCCCAACTTTTTTGGAAGTGGGGTTGTAAAACACTCTACTACCCCACAGGATAAACGACACAGCTAACAACATCAGCTCACACAGTGTGAGCGTGTGCTGTTTTACAATAGATTTTTTACAGGATTGAATCAAATTCATCCTTTTTTTTCTCTCTTCAATATCCAATCCAGCATTTTCTGCTGATATCAGCCCGATACTGATGCCCAGAATCGAGTGGGTGCCATCTCTAATTAGATGTTTGTGCTTTTGGCTGTAAAGTATTGCTGGATTGTTTTGTTTGTGTGTGTAACTTTGGCAGTTGGTTAGTGATGGCTGGCGTGTTTCTCGCTCTCAGCAGTTCCTCCTTCGGCCGTGAGCAGCTCCTCCAGACTCCCAGCACGCAGGAACTCGGCCTCAGACTCAGCAGAGCCCTTCATGGTACTCACACTCTCACTGCAGTACTCTCTCTGAATTGGGGTGGACGATGCGATGATATATCATTCTCACAAAAACAGTGGTTCCAACAAGGTTTTCTGCACTTTGTGGATATCATCATTTAAAGAACACTGATCAACTGCATGTTTCATTATAAAGTTTTTACTTTACCAAAGTGGCATAGCTGTCTAAAGTCATTTCTTGTTTTTGGAAGACTGTAAATTGTAATTTTATGATGCCAAATTCAAGAGAGTGTAGTTGGTCCAGTTTAATTGGATGTAATGATACACAGTATAATTTTAACTTAAATATTGTAATGTATATCCTGAGAATGTCTTCAATTATTATGATGTTAGATTTTTTACATAACTTGTGAACAAACATGCAACTCTCTTAGTTTAATGACTTGATCTGAAAGACTATTATGGTACACTGTAGGAAGTAAGTAGGCATATTTACAACAGATGTAGTAATGGCTACATTTTTCATTTTGGCCTAGGTGCACCTTTAAAAGGAAGGTTCATGTGCTCTAGCTGCAGACAAAGCGAGTTGGGAATATTTCAGAGTCCTCAGTTTGCTGATAACGTGTAAATAATGTGCTACACTATATGTCCAAAAGTATCCAGACATGCAAACTTGTATTGGCGTTTGTGATCCAGAACTTATCATCCAACATCAGTAGCTGGCCTCACTTATGCTCTTGTGTCTGAACACAATCAAATCCTCACAGCAGTGTTCTGACATCTATGTAAAGCCTTCCCAGAAGAGTAGACATGTTCCCTGTTAATACCTTTTGATTTTAGATTTTTGGATGAGGTGTCCACAAACTTTTGGACATAAAGTGTAAAAGTCTCAAACCAGAGGTTCTCTGTCATACATACACAGCCAGCTACAGTGCGCTGTCTCTGTAGGAAGAAGAGGACCGTTATAAGGAGATGCTGAACCGGAGTGACAGCGAACACATTGCCAGTAATTACTTCAGGAAGAAGAGGACTACTCCACTTTTCGCAGGAGATGCTAGCAAGAGCCTGGGTAAGAGCAGGAGCACCCACCAGCTCTAATGAACACAGTCTAGCATAGTCTGCACTTTAGCCTGTTTATATAATCAATCCCATCACTTCTTCATCTGTGCCATGCTTTGGGCTCATTTTCCTGACCTGTCCATCTTTGCAAAAGTAGGTCATGGGGGTAGCATATCAACTTTAGCACTAGCATTACGACTTTTTAAAAATAAGGAAGTTGTAGAAATAAAAATGTCTTTGTATAGGAGATCGCTGTATCAGGTCAAATAACACTCACAATAACAGATCATGTTTACTCACAGTAGCAAGTGGTAATGTTCGGTACACTTACAGGAATATGGGCTCCACCTTTTTGGAATTAAAATCATATTGTATGCAGCAGCTCAGGGACTTCTTATTTGGGTTAAAGCTGCAGATCAATTTGTTAATCCATGTCACATTTATCTTGTTTTAATATATCAAACAAACAGTTTAAAGAGGAATGCTACCAATTTAAAAAAAAATAAATTAAGCAGGTGTGAACAAAGTTATTCAGGATGGTTCGATGTGAAATGGCAGTTAAAATTACCAACTCACGTTTCTTTACAGTGGTGGTGATGGGAACCAGGGGTCACAGTGTCTACAACACAATACTTCCTTTTTATTTACAATCCAAAAGCGCTAGTGAAACTATGCATGTCTTATATGGAACATGGATAATGGTAAAATAGTGGGATATATATAAAATTTATATATATAAAATTTATATATATATATATGTGTATGTATGTATCGGATCAGGCATAACATTAAAACCACCTCCTCACGTGTTTACTCACTGTCCACTCTATTAGACACTCCTACCTTGTTGGTCCACCTTGTAGATGTAGCCCTTCATCAGTGGTCACAGGACGCTGTTGGCTGGATATTTTTGGTTGGTGGACTATTCTCAGTCCAGCAGTGACACTGAGGTGTTTAAAAACTCCAGCAGCACTGCTGTGTCTGATCCACTCAGACCAGCGCAACACACACTAACACACCACCACCACGTCAGTGTTACTGCAGTGCTGAGAATGATCCACCAGCCAAATAGTACCTGCTCTGTGAGGGTCCATGGGGGTCCTGACCACTGAAGAACAGGGTAAAAGGGGGCTAACAAAGTATCAGAGAAACAGATGGACTACAGTCTGTAACTGTAGAACTACAAAGTGCACCTATATAGTAAGTGGAGCTGATAAAATGGACAATGAGTGTAGCAACAAGGTCATAATGTTATGCCTGATTGGTGTATATATATTTTTTGCCTTACAAGGCTCTGTGAGTACCTTTTCACCATTAATGAGTATAAAACAATTCTCAAAACTATCATGAAACAATCTTTTATCTTAAAACTAAACTCTTCCAGTCACCATCACTGACTTGATAAGCTTCTCTAGGACGGCACATTTCACATCAAATACTCTGAATGACTTTTTCTGATTAATTATGGACACATTTTAGAAAATGAATGAAATTCCTCTCTATTATGAACAGTGAATGGAAACTAATAACAACCAATTAGCATGATGTTATTAGCATAATGTTGATTGGTGGTTCATGTTCATTCATTATCAGCATTAGCATGTTAGAACTCTTTCTTTACTGCAGAGGCTCAGAGTGGGTCACGGGTGTTTCTTTGTTTAAAAAGGTCAAGCTTTCATATTATTTTTTTTTTCCTTTTGAAGGTTCACTTTTATTTTGAACATTTGAAATTTGGCACCTGGCATTTCCTGCTTTCAGCTTGCATCTGATGCTTCATTTGAGTGGTCTCTGAAACTGAGAAACACTAATTTTCCAACTTGTAAAGTTGGCAAAGCCATATTTCTAAGTGGGAAGCTCTGAGGTCGGGTTCTCAAAGCACTTAGTCTTAACCTGCTAGGATCATTATGTCTTCAGACTCTGTTATAACTGGCTTCTCCAGAGATTCTCAAAACATTTCAGGTGCCGATATGTCACATCACTGGTCTTATCTGTGGGTGTGACTGTAGTAAAATTTAGGACCACCTCAGAATAGTCGTGACAGCATAAAACCATTAAAAAGACGAATGATTTTTTGCATTTTTCATATCTCAAATAATACCAATTAAAATGAACAATCATATAAAGTAAACTCATCAATGATGACTTGTCTGATTTGTTGTGATTTAACTATGTGCTGTAGTTTTTGCCCCTTTATGCATTTCTGTGCAGTAACTTAAACAATCAGGCATTATATTTACAGATGCATTATATGGACCAATTTACTGAATTACTTTAAACCTTAGATATTTACAAAGACTATGTTATGATCTATTTAAACCCAAGGCATTAATTGAGATAATAAAAAGGTAAACATACACAAAATCATTATTTATTGGGTACTTTGAATTTCTAAGTGAAAATAAGTGAACGCATCCTCTACAGAGGACACACTTTTGCACATTTTTAAAGCACAATGTTTTATGTTGATCTGCTGATTTTAACATATTGGAAACAAATTTGAACATAAACTGTGGCCTGTGCAAAAGTTATGGCACTTTTATTTTGTTTTCCAATATGTTAAACTTAGCAAAGAAATAGAAATTGCCAAGAACAGAGGATCTGTTCAGTTACTTTCAATTAGAAAATCAACAAAATGTCATTTTGCATCCGACTGTACAACCTTTCAGTGAGCACCCAAATGCATCATTAGACCTGTCACTGGTAGCCTAAAAAAACAATAACATGTTAAATGAACCAAAAAAAAACACTTGTCACAACAGTTTGATAGACACTAATAAATATATTATAAAAACATTTTTTGCTACATTGAAAACAGAAAAATTTTGGTGTGTTCAGGGTGAAGTATTTGTGAACGTTTTTGTGGCAGGACCCGTTAAGAACCACTGTTTTATTGACTCCTGCATGCACAAATGGTCATTCTGCTGCAACAGGTAATGGACCATCCCACCAGACCTCCAGCAGCTCCAACCTTGCAGCCGAGGCCCTTCTGCCCCGCCCATTTCGCCTGGAGTCTCTGGGCATCCTGCCTGTCAGTGCCAAAGCCAAGCGCAAGAAGAGCAAAACACAGATCCTCTGTGATGGCAACTGACCAGTGATGACCCATTTTTGCTTTTTTTTTTCTTCAGGGAGACCGTGCTGACCTTTGTGCACTCTCAAATGTCAGAACACAAACTTTGCTGCTAAAGAGCTGTTATTTGTTGTAAATACAAATTATTGTTTTGTTTTGGTAGATTATTACTCTACAAATACATGATACACCGATCAGGCATAACATTATGACCACCTCCTTGTTTCTCATTGTCCATTTTATCAGCTCCACTTACTATATAGGTGCACTTTGTAGTTCTACAGTTACAGACTGTAGTCCATCTGTTTCTCTGATACTTTGTTAGCCCCCTTTTACCCTGTTCTTCAGTGGTCAGGACCCCCATGGACCCTCACAGAGCAGGTACTATTTGGGTGGTGGATCATTCTCAGCACTGCAGTAACACTGACGTGGTGGTGGTGGTGGTGTGTTAGTGAGTGTTGTGCTGGTCTGAGTGGATCAGACACAGCAGTGCTGCCGGAGTTTTTAAACACTGTGTCCACTCTCTGTCCACTCTATTAGACACTCCTACCTTGTCAGTCCATCTTGTAGTTGTAAAGTCAGAGACGATAGCTCATCTGCCGCTGCACAGTTTGTGTTGGTCATCCTCCAGTCCTTCATCAGTGGTCTCAGGATGCTGCCCACAGGATGCTGTTGGCTGGATATTTTTGGTTGGTGGACTATTCTCAGTCCAGCAGTGACAATGAGGTGTTTAAAAACTCCAGCAGCACTGCTGTGTCTGATCCACTCAGACCAGCGCAACACACACTAACCCACCACCACATCAGTGTTACTGCAGTGCTGAGAATGATCCACCACCCAAATAGTACCTGCTCTGTGAGGGTCCATGGGGGTCCTGACCACTGAAGAACAGGGTAAAAGGGGGCTAACAAAGTATGCAGAGAAACAGATGGACTACAGTCTGTAACTGTAGAACTACAAAGTGCACCTATATAGTAAGTGGAGCTGATAAAATGGACAATGAGCATAGAAACAAGGAGGTGGTCATAATGTTATGCCTGATCAGTGTATGTGATTTTTAGATATACTAACTGTTATCTGTGATCTCCCTCAACCCCTTTATTCTAACTTTTACCAACTTTGACTATCAGAATCTCAGCTGATGAAAATGTGAAAGTAACAATGTGAATTTGTGAAAGCTCGTAACGTAGTACTTCCTAAAATCAGCGCTACCTATTTACTATGGACTTGCACTAGTATTTTGCTACCCTTAAAGGGCCCCTATCATGGACTGAATTACCCTCGCCTTTTTAAACAAAGGAGTTAAGTAACATGTAAACATTTTCAAAATGTACCATTCACCCCCAGTCCATACAGTCCATATAAGAAACTAAGCTGCAAAAACAGCCTATTTTAAATTCATTGTTTCTGTGATGTCACAAGAACCAACTCCTTTACATATATCCACCTATTCAGCCTACCACAGTTTAGCCCCACCCATTCGTTTTCGTTCTAAGGAGTGTTTCAGCTCTGTGTTTTTTTTTTTTTTAATGTGACACAATACAGAACAGCCAGTCAGTCCAGGAGTCATTCACATATGTCAATCTTAAAGGCACAGTAATAAAAACAGCCTGTTTAAATTCTAAGGGAAAAGAGAGGAAAATGGTCATGTAAAAATTAATTCTAACCATTTTTGATACCACAAATTACAAGCAAAATGTAGGATATGGGCCTTTTAATGTGAGTGGATCAACCAAATGAATATACTATTTATCTTTGTATGGTCATTTCTATTGCTCTTCAAAACTGTAATGTATTTTTCTTGTTTGAATAGAAGAAAAGTGCAAATATTTTTATTTAGTCATACTTTTATTATTCCTTTACACTCACATAGACAGAGAATCTGCAAAAAGGAAAACCAAAAGGAATCTGTAAAAGGAAACTAAGGGGTCAGAAAGATGTGAAAGCTGCAGGCATTTCCATGTAAATGACAGCTTATCAGGACAGGGTGAGTTAAGAGATGTGATGTAAAAAGTCTTTCAGCATCTACTCTCTAGTTCTGTGGTGGTTTATCATGTGATTATGTGTGACTGTGTATCAGTGTCTGTGTAACATTCCAGCGTTTAAGCAATAACCAACACATTTCACCTGTGATTTTAGCATCTTGCTGAACAGATGGAAATGATATCTGAAGGATTGTTCTGCTTTAGGGAGTGAAAATGTGGACAGGGTTAAATCCACAGTGACGTAGAAGACCTAGCACCAACAGGCAAGTTTTCAGGCCGAGAAATGTTAAATGCACTGATCTGCCAACCACATCAGCCTTTCCAGAAGGGACGTTAGCAGGCTTTAAAGGAACAATTAAAATAAAAAATAAAATTTTTGAATACACCAAAGTACGTCACTTTACTTAAAGGGGAATTCCACACATTTTTTTTTTTTACATTTTTGCATAATTAAATCAAGACGTACCCAAACTCAGTGCTTTGATCTCAAAAAGCACAAGGGGCAGTCGTGAGCTGGAAGTTAGGGAACCAGCCTTGTGATCGGAAGGTCACCGGTTTGATCCCCTGAGCTGACAGGACATGACTGAAGTGCCCTTGAGCAAGGCAACTAACCCCCAACTGCTCCCCAGGTGCCATGGATAGGGCTGCCCACTGCTCTGGGCAAGTGTGCTCACTGCCTCCTAGTGTGTGTGTTCATTAGTGTGCATGTATGTGGGTGTTTCACTGAACTGCAACATATCAAATGTTGAAACTGAGAAATTTTATTGTTTTTTGAGAAATATATGCCCATTTTGAATTTGATGCCAACAAAACGTTCCAAAAATGTTGGGACGGGGGCCTGTTTACCACTGTGTTTCATCACCTCTTCTTTTAATAACACTCTGTAAGCGTTTGGGAACTCAGAAGACACTGCTGTAGTTTTGAAAGTGAAATGTTTTCCCATTCTTGTTTGATATGGGATTTCAGCTGCTCAACAGTTCAGGGTCTCCTTTGCTGTATTTTTCATTTCATAATGCGTCAGATGTTATCAGTGGTGACAGGTCTGGACTGCAGGCAGGTCAGTTTAGCACCCGGACTCTTTTAATATGGAGCAATGCTGTTGTTATACATGCAGAATGTAGTTTGTCATTGTCTTGCTGAAATAATCAAGGCCTTCCCTGAAAAAGACGTCGTCTGGATGGCAGCATATGTTTTAAAAACATGTATATATCGTTCAGCATTAATGTGCCTTCACAGATGTGCACGTCACCCATGCCATGCACACTAACGCCCCCCTATACCATCATGAAAACTGGCTTTTGAACTGTGCACTGATAACAAGCTGAGTGGTCTTTAGCCTGGAGGACACAGTGTCCATGATTTCCCAAAAGAATTTCAAATTTTGATTCTTTGGACCACAGGACACTTTTCCACTTTATCTTGGTCCATTTTAAATGAGCTTGGGCCCGGAGAAGGTGGCTGTTTATATCTGGTTTCTTCTTTGCGTTTTTTAGTTTTTTGACTTGCATTTGTGGATGTAGGGATGAACTGTTTTCACAGACAGTGTTTTTCAGAAGTGTTTCTGAGCCCATGCAGCAATTTCCACTACAGAATCATGTCTGTTTTAAATGCAGTGCTACCTGAAGGCCCAAAGATCACGGCCAGCAAACACTGGTTTTTGGCTTTGTCCCTGACATACAGAGATTTCTCCTGTTTTTCTGAGTCTTTTAATGATATTATGTACCGTAGATGATGAAAAGCAAAAGTTCTTTGCTATTTTACATTTGAGATGTTTTTCTTGAATTGTTGCACTATTTGATCGTGCAGTCTTTCACAGAGTGGTGAACCCCTCCCCATCTTTACTTCTGAAAGACTCCGCCTCTCTGGGATGCTCTTTTTATAACTAGTCATGTTACTGACCTGTTGCCAATCAACCACCAGGCTTTTTTTTTTTAGCAGTACACAACTTTACCAGCCTTTTGTTGCCCCAGTCTGTCCCTGTTGTTGGCATCAAATTCAAAATGGGAAAATATTTTTCAAAAAAACAAAATTTCTCAGTTTCAACATTTGATATGTTGTCTTTGTACTATTTTCAATCCATCATTGCATTTTGCTTTTGTTTACATTTTGCACAGCATCCCAACTTTTTTGGAAATTATTCTTATATAAATATCCACAGAGATGAAAAAATAATAATGAGAAAAACAATGTTCTATATTAGTACGTTTCCCAGCACAGTTTTCAATCACAGTATGCTATGCTCTGCTGCCAACCGCAAACCTGTCACTTTGAAGAGGTGGATCACTCAGTATGCAAAGGTCTTGCCTCCAGCACAGACGCAAGCCTATCATAATACTGCACTATCAGATCAAACAACACTGTCACAATAGTAACTGTTGTCAGTATACAAACGGTATGACAGCATTGTTACAGTGAGGCATAGTCAAATGTGTGAATAAAGCAATAAGCCACTTAAGTGTGGCTGGGAGGCACGACTCAAGGCTAGATTTACACTTGCTGGTGAAACGTCCACACAACTAGTTGCATGGTGAGTTGCATGCAACAGTTTTCATGCAACTTGACAGTTATATATAGCAAAGTTGCACATGCCACGTTAACAAATTAGCTGCTCATATTTTTGTTATGCATATCATTCTTGCTATACCGTCACCTGTGAGGTGTAATTTACACATTTGCATCTATATTATATCTTCGTATAGTTTTTCCAGCTGTCATTGGTGTTTTTTTTTCTTTATCTATATGTGTCATTTATCTATATTTTAAGCTTTACTATATCTTTGAGTATGTTTTGTCTGTTGTGTAGGTTAATTGTTTGAAAACAAATGTTTAAGTAGCCATTGCGGCTGTGTCGTCTTGCTCATTCAGTCGTAGAAGCACAAATACATCACAGGCCTCCTCTTCTGTAACATTTCATTTTTAGGATTCTAAATGAATCTTATCTCTGTAAAGTTAGGAGACAGCAAGCGAGGAGAATGTGTATAAACCAACCAGGCATAACATTCTGACCACCTCCTTGTTTCTACGCTTATTGTCCATTTTATCAGCTCCACTTACTATAGAGGTGCACTTTGTAGTTCTACAGTTACAGACTGTAGTCCATCTGTTTCTCTGATACTTTGTTAGCCCCCTTTTACCCTGTTCCCGGTGGTCAGGACCCCATCTTCTGTTTTCTGTTTCTTGTCCATTGGATCCAGTGAAATAAATGATTTTAAAGGATCATTCAAGGTGATCATGTGATGCATTCTTGGTGTTTTGATTGGCTGTGAAACATTTGCAACTGCCGTAGCTAAGTGCAGAGTGCAACTCAAGTGCAATTAAGTTTCATGTTGGTTTCATGCAATTAAAGTTGCAAGAAACTTTCACAGTGTAAAGCCAGCCTTAAATTTCTCAAATGGAAACAAAATATAATGAGCTAGATTCATAAAGCGTACCACAGGTTTACAGTTACGTTACGCAGTAACACATTTGCTCATTGATAATGAGGATTAGCACCACGTTTGTATGACACTAACATGATAAATCAAACTTCCCCTCATTTGCATGTGCCATCAGTGATCCATAACAGAACACTGCCACTCCGTTGATTCACCAGTATATCTAAATGGCATTTTTTATCTGTTTGGGTTGAATATTATGGGAAGCATTACAAGTTCAGTTGTAGGAGTAAAGGAGGAAAGTGACTTGCTTGATAAGGATGTCAGTGCGCATTAGTTCAGAATTCAATTCAATCCAGTATTGAATTGAATTCTGTATTAATTCAATTCAATTCAATTCAATACTGGATTGAATTGAATTCTGTATTAATGTGCACTGACATCCTTATCAATCCAGTATTGAATGTGATTTTGGTTGGCTTTTACCTAAGACACATAAAAATGCCAGCATGCTGACTACCCACATTTTGGGAGGCGTAGTGTAGTTTTATGAATCTGGCCCATTATGATAACATACATGGATGCTCAATAATGCTTAATTTATTACTACTAATAAAAACTGCAATAAACATTTCTTATTGCAATAAACAATCCAATCCTTATATATACAAACTGAAATTCAATGACAGGTGCACCTTAAAGTAGCTGAGCACAAATTAGAAGTGGTCTATACTTTTGACATTCGGCATGCTACGGTTGTAAAGCAACATAAAGGTCAATCATTATCCTATGAACAGCCCAGTGATTGTAAATAAGCTGTACAGTGCTGTGGAAATGTATTCATTCCTGTCCCACATAGATTTCCTCCATGTTTGCATATTTGTCACCCTTAATTGTTTCAAACAAAACTTAATATAACACAGACTACCAGAGTAAACACAAAATATCATTTTAAAGCAATAATTTCATTTATTGACAAAATCCAACACCAACTGACCCTGTGTGAAAAAGTAATTAGCTCCTTAGTTACTCACTCAACCAAATAACCAGGTTTAGCTGATAACTGGCATCAGTTAAACTAGTCACACCCAGTCTAGATTATTGCCAGCCCCCTTCAGCATTTTACACTGGCTTTGAACATGACTCGGCTAAACAGATTTTAGAAGTGGAACTATCCATTTTAGAAAAAAAAGCAAGCTGGGTCTCCATAAAACCCATACTGAGATTATTGGCTGATGAATCTGAGCAGCTGGGTAATGTGAACAGTGGCCTTTTGTGCGAGTGTGGTCAGGTGTTGGTCACAACCTGAGATAATCTGCTAATCCACCGAACGCTGACTGTGCCTTCATTCACTTAGTGGGTAAGATGAGAAGTCTGACTGATAGGTGATCTACCGGAGAGTAGAGCGCACCAAAAGACATCCAGGGTTCGTTAGGGGCGCCAACTTTCAACATTCAGGCCGGGCAGACTGCGGGGCTATTCATGTGCAGGTGATGTGATGAGAATTTCTGAAACCATGTGAATAGATCTGCTGTTTCTGTGAAACACTGTGCATAACGAAGAAATCAAATCTGAGCATCAGGCTAAAGAAGGATTAGTGAAAGATGTTGTCCAGCAGAGGTAAAATACTGGTAGCCTCTTTCTTTCAGGATGTGAGAGAACCACAAAACAAGGACTTCGTCATATTCATACAACTACATATAAATGATCTAGCTGTGAAGAGATTATCAAAATGAATTTACAAAGAGAGTAAAAAATAAAAAGAAAATCTCTCAATGCAAAGATGTTCGATATTAAATCAAAGGTATCTCAATCAAAGGCATCAGGGTGATAATCAATTCTTGGACAACATCTGTATTGTGAAAAAGAAACAGGGCAACGGTCAAAACGCAAGTGCTTCTATTCAGCGCTGCTATGAGTTACATATATTCAGTTCTTCAGCAGTCCCAGCTTTCTTAGAGCCTCTCTCCGATCCTCTCCCATGTTGGGAACCACCAGCACATTTAGGCCTGGAGCATGTAAAGGTTTGTGAGGGACAGTGGATGATTGTCCTGATGCTGCTTGGGGTTTGCCAGTAGACACAGTGTTTCTGCCTCTCTGGATGTTTCCAAGGTTGCTACTGCTGACCACTGTGGAGGAACGTTGTAGGTGGTTCTGAGAAGCTGCAGAACTTTGACAGTCTGAAATCTCAGAGTTGGACATGCTGCTTCCCCAACCCGTTCCAGACCTCTCCAGGGTGGCAGATTTACCCCCCGCAGGCTTGACGTGGTGCAGTTGAGGAGGAACTGTAGCTAGGTCAGTCATGGAACGATGGTGGAGAACACTGCTGCCTTGGCTTGGTTGGTTCCTCGATTCCTGGTTCCTTACAGACGCACAAGGAGGAAGTGGCCTACTCTGGGACAAGTCTGGAACTGAGCCAGAGGAAGGCTGTAGACTTTCACTGGGGTGGCCTTTGGTAGAAGGTTTCGAATCGGATTCCTTCAGCAGACCCAGTTTAGATAAAGCCTCCAGCCTCACTTGCTCTGGTTTCATCAGACCTTTACTTCCAGGAGATGTAGATAAACAATGTATAGTTGAGTCTGCATTAGGAGCAGTGGTTCCCTTGTGATTCAGAACAGTTATGTGAGAGGGTATCTTTTTGGGTTTGGGGGCCACGGCTGGAGGACTGTTCTTACTGCCCTGGTTTTCTATCGGTTGGATGTTCTGAGAGAAGACTTTCCTTCCATCGTTAGAATGTGTATGAGGCTGTTTCTCGTCTTCAGGGTTTTTTCTCAAGGCTACCTTTTTACGCAGCTGCACTAGACCCTCATAGGTCAGAGGCCCCCGAGGGGACTGGTCATTCTGCAGTCCTCGATCTCTCTCGTTGCTGCTTTTGACTATGACTGGAGGAGGAATCACGACTACATTCACCTCTGATGGAACACGAGGACCATCCTTGTCACTTTTGTGCGAAGTCACTTCTTTGGATGGCAGTTTCTCTTTGGAATCAGCTGGTTTGGGAGGGATATGAGCATTGTTGTTTGCCAGAACGAAAGGAGTTGGAACCAAGTAATTCAGGATTTGGTTGTGCTCCGAGCTGCCAAACATCCGAGGATCATCAATGTAATGCTTTGGGACATCTGAGGGGGAAACGAAATTTCACCTTCAAACTATTCTGCATATTGGTATATGTTTTATATTAGATATTAAGTAGAAAATGACAACCTTTATGCTTGCTCTGGTCCATGGAAGCAGAAAGGTGAGCTGTTTTGATGGCCACGTTTCCAGGGACAGGAAGACTTTCAGCTTCATCATTGGACAGACCACTGTCATCCTCAGTGTCTAGAGACTCAATGGTCTCCTCCAAGAACATGAGACAAGCCTTCTCTTCTGCAGAAAGATACTGCAGGCTGTCATCACTCTGCAAGAGGTATATATCACAGGAAGATATGCATCATGTTTCATATCAAGATCATACCTGCCTAAAAAAACATGGAAAATGAGTGCCAGCATACAGGGTGATTCAAAAAGATTCATCCAATTTCAAAATGATTCATTTCACTTGTAAATCATTACAGATCAATGCAGTAAACTGTAAATGGTTTGATTGAGCATAAAGTTTATTATATAATTCTACAAGTGCTCAGTATGAACCTCCTCCAGCTGTACAGACAACATCAATGCAATTTCGGAGATCATCCAGTGTTGTTGGGAGTGGCACATAAACAATCCTTAACGTACCCCACAAAAAACAGTCACACGGTGTGAGATCTGGTGATGCTGGTGACCTTTTTCTTGGAACTGTTGGCACCAACGACGAATGCTCTGAGCTGTTGGAGGTTCACTGCCATACTGACAGTCAGAAACTATATGACCCCCTCTTTCGATTGGATTGTGATTGGTTCCTAGGCGCCTCACGGTTGTAAAAATATGGCGCTTTGAAATCGGATGAATCTTTTTGAATCACCCTGTAGGATTCCCCTGTTGAATGTGAAGTATGTCTTTATGAATGGAAGTGGAACTTACAAAGCAAGAGTTGATGCTGACCACACTGTCACAGCTATCAGCACTGTCCATCTCTCCCACTGTCTCCGTGGCAACGCCACCTGGCCACATGTCACTTTTTGGCATTGCAAATTAACCGTGATTTGGCCTTATCATGAACTCTGGTCCTTGAACTGTCCAAAGCAAACACAACTTTATGATCCACCAATATAAAAATAACAACAATTATAACAAGATATTGTGCCTCATTTGTGTAAACTGACACGTATAGTTTTAGGAAATGAAGAGTTTTCATCTGCAGATTTGAGACCCATTTTTAAAGTGTTAAATTGATGGTTGATCCAGTAAAGTTACAAAACTGTCCCATTACACCAAATGTAGTCAATCAGCCAAGACATTTTTGTATCTGAAGTTTTCTCCAACAGTATTACACTGCAGACAGCAGCGGCAAATGCTATGAACAGGGGTGGATACAGGCTACAAAAAAGTAAAACCATATGTAAGACATTTACTGTGTCATTCAAACATTTTTTTAAACATATCTCTTGCTTTTCATACAGAAGCAATAATGAAGATTTTGAAAGAATATCTCATTTTAGATCAGGGATACATGATGATTTCGGAATCACGTCAGTATCAGCACATGTTTACCAGTCAGCTCTTCAAATTTAACCAATACACCAATATGATTACGTCCACCTGTTTCTCTGCATAGTTTGTTAATTTTGCCCCTTTTTTACCTTTATTTTTATACACACACTTAAAACAAGTTGTGTTCATCTGATTCCAATCCCTAAATCCTTGTTTCCATCCTCCACATATTTATCTCTGAATTGCTGACAGTATCACTGCTAATGCAGGACTTGATAAACTCATGTTTGTACCAGCATGATATGAAGCTCCTTCTGCAGTGCTTAAGAGGGAATTCCACTGATTTTTCAGATGTCTGCATAATTAAATGGTTAAGATGTAAATATTCAATCAGATCAGTCATGGTTTGGTGTGAAACGCTCCGTTCTAGAGAAACTTACCAAGTCTGAATTGTTCCCAGTGGTGGTGATGGGAACCAGACGTCCACCTCTAAAACTTATGAATCCACTGCCTGATTGTTTTATAGTCGTTTTGGGAGAAGGTTTTGGCCTAAAACATATATTTTTTAAATCCATTCATGATGGAGAGGTACATGCAGGGCATTATGAGACTAATAGTACCCGAAGAAAACTTTCTTTTTCACATGTATCATTATTTTACCATTTCAACATTACACCAGAGCTGCTAGAGTCACCAGAGCTCCATCTCTGTTGGCTGATCTGCATCTCACCTGCATGAACTGACCCTCCTGCTGATGCTGCTGCTACAGCATAAACTAAAACTATCTAATTAACCACTGCTCCACCTGTTTTTAACCGTTTTGTAGTATAATATTTTATACTAATGCTGTCTGCTAGCCGGAGTTGTCCAGAGGAGGATGGGTTCCCCTTTTGAGTCTTGGTTCCTCTCAAGGTTTCTTCCTGTTGCTCTTAGGGAGTTTTTCCTGGCCACTGTCGCCACTGGCGATACTCATGGGGTCTCGGACCTGGGTTTTTCTGTAAAGCTGCTTTGTGACAACACCTGTTGTAAAAAGCGCTTTATAAATAAACTTTGACTTGACATATCAAAACTCAGGAGACACGTGTAGGTTCACTGGTCATTTTGGAAAAGAATTATATTTGGGTTGTAGACATCACAGCTTCTGGTTCCAATCACCACCACTGTAAAAACATCAGTACGTTTCTCCACAATGAGCCACTTCACATCAAACCACTCTGAATGACTGCATCTCACTGACAAAGTTTGAAAAATGAGTGGAATTCCCCTTTGAAACTGGAGCTGGGAGATTGAGAGTGTGTTGGTGGCTCAGGAAGAACCGGCGCTTAATCACCTCAGTTATGCTGATTCAGATTTTGTTTAGTCAGAAATGAAATTTGGAATGTCATGTATTCAGTGAATGCATTTTCATTTATCATTATTATTTTTATTAATATGATTTCAATTATTCATAAGATAAATAATACTGGAAGTAAATTTGAGCAGTCATTTTGGGCCGTTGATAAAAGTGGGTGGGCCTAGGCCCGCTGGGCTCAATCATAGCATCGCTCCTGGCTGGCACTACAAAGCTAATACAGCTAATACACAATAGAAATACAGAATCCATTAATTAGCATCGTGTGAACTGCTTGTGTGAGTCATAACCCACTTGTCACGTTGAGTTACTACTACTTACATATTTGACACTATGACATATTATTAATAAGAAAATGAAAATTGATATGTTAGCAGTAGCAGTCTTCGCCTGTTTTTATAAAGAATAATGTCATACTAGGCCTGAAAGGTTAATCGTTTTTTAAATCGAAATCGCTATTTAAGACGGTGCAATTTTCAAATCATATGAGCTGCATTTGTTTTTTTTTAACCTCTTATTGACCAGGGTATATTTTGGTTTTTCCATCTGAATTTACTTGACCAAATCGTAAGGCAAATTATTCAGTAACTGCATAAAATAAATGTAAATTTTTATTTTATTTATTTATTTTTTGTAAAAGCTCCCCTCAAACAGAACGTGTTTTATGAGCACACATATTGCTATATGTTTACAATTTACTGCTGACAGCCAAAAATCTTAGACGCTCTTTGTATTATTTTATAAAAATAATTTTTACAGAGCAGATCACTGAAGAGACGCCATCTGTTTATAGTTTATAACCCAGATTTGTGGTAAAATGGGTCGACTTTCAGTAGAAAAACAAACTAGTTCAGCTTCTTTTATTATAAGGGTTTAAAATGACATCACCCATCTATTTGACTGGAAAGAAGACAGTTACAGCTCTCATACGACCCCCACCTTTAGAATGTAGCTTATGAAATATGAAAGTTATGAAGAATATGACGAAGTGCGTTTTGGAACCAATGGTGGTCTCAAGGAGTTGAAAAGGTTAATTATAGCGTACACACATACATAAGATAGTCCTTCAATGTTCTTAAAAATGATGGTTCTTCAGTAAAGACAATCATTTTATATAGAATCATGAACACTCGAAGACCCACTTTCATGCTTAAGTGGTTCTCTGCATGGTGAAAATGTTCTTCAAATTGAAGGAAAATGTGTTGTATATGGTTCTATACAGCACCAAAAAGGGTTCTGCTATTGTTACAAATGTCAAGCATAACAATAGAAGAACATTTTGGTGCTACATAGAACCCTTTTCACAAATGTGCTATAAAGAACTATATATATATATATATACATACACATACAACACAATGTCCATAAATTTAGAGCAACATTTAATCATTCAAAGAACTTTAAGCATGACAGTGAGTCAGTGAGTGTTTATGGTTCTATATAGAACCATTATCTTTACTAAAGAACCCTTAAAGAACCATCTTTTGTAAGCGTGTACATTAGCAGAAATGTTGTTTTAGGTTCTAAGAGGGGAAATTGAGCCTAATAAGAGTTTGGGAAATGCCTGTAGATATAATTTAGATAGACCAATCAAAGGCAACCAAACCTTCACATGTTGTGACATCACAACCACAACTTACTTGCAGTTTGGCTCACTGTGATCAGGGGTCGAGCCTTCTTGGCCAAAATAAATCAGGCCTGAATCTTAATTTATAAAATATCACAATTTAAATTGTAGCTGCAATATTAGTAGGAAAAATCGTAATTAGATATTTTCCCCAAATCGTTCAGGCCTGTGTCATACAGTGTTAAAACCACATAAGCAAACAGGGACACAAATATGGGAAATCATGCACTGGTGCAGAAATCCCTCATTTTATGTACATATCTAATACATAAACATTTCTAAAATCCAGAAGATGAAAATAAATCTACTTGGATCAGAATAACAGAAGTGTAACACACTTGTATCTGGTTACGAGTGTAGTAAAACGAATAAAACAGACATTTGAGTGAAGAAGCCCAGCCTCACCTACATGCTCTGCTCGTCTGAAGTGCAATAAATACATCATTAAAAACTGATTTGAAAAACTGTTCAAATCTAAACATCTACTTGATGCTGATATTATTTTTTGAGGGGATCTCTGCCAATACAGATATGATTCCAATTTCACTGCATCCCTATAAGCAAGTGTGTTTGAGATTATTTAACTTTGGATGCTAAACATGTCGATCTTGGCTGATCAACTATCATTTGAAATAAGATGAAAATTGCATAAATATGGTTTTTGGCCAGCTACATTCGGGTTAAGGTTACACGGGTCGAGGTAGCTGGTCATAGATCAGTTCAAAAGGGCAGAGGGTATAAGAGCTGTATCTAGTTCTCTGTGCAGTGTTAGCTGATTGCTATACTGGATGTATCAGGTGACTCGGATTGTAGCCCACGCTACTCTAAGACCTTCTAATAAGATCAAGTTCAGCATGAATGGAAGGCGACATGTATCGTCTGCAGATTTAAAGTAATGCAAAACTGTCTAACTCACTATAGTACTACTTCTAAAGGCTTCCACCGATAGATAGTTTACAAATGAGGCATGAAGAATAAACCATAAAGCGTGGTGCAGACGGGTCATCTTTATTTTAAGATTTTTGTCAATGCATAGTGTAGTCGGGCTTAGGATTAGATCTGGAAATCCTCACTTTGAGCTAAAAATGTTGCTTTGAACATTTGATTGTGCCTTTTTGTCAGTCACTGAAATATCTACTCAAAGAGCTGCTATTCTGCATTTTTCATCTATTTTACTGTTTATCCCCAAGCGTCACTTATAATGGTCCTAATTCATTTCATATTAATATTTTCCAGCCTCTCTTCATCCACTAGAATTAAACAGACCATTTGTGTTTCTGTATGTTTATGTAAATGAGCTCTGTTCTGACTTGCTGCCCTCTATTGCGTCTCATTCAAAAAGCAGTTCGGGATGAAACACTCTTTAACTTCAGCATTAATGGGTGGAGCTACACTGCTGTAGGCTGAATATGTAAATATATATATACACACCGATCAGGCAACATTATGACCACCTCCTTGTTTCTACACTCATTGTCCATTTTATCAGCTCCACTTACTATATAGGTGCACTTTGTAGTTCTACAGTTACAGACTGTAGTCCATCTGTTTCTCTGATACTTTGTTAGCCCCCTTTTACCCTGTTCTTCAGTGGTCAGGACCCCCATGGACCCTTACAGAGCAGGTACTATTTGGGTGGTGGGTCATTCTCAGCACTGCAGTAACACTGACGTGGTGGTGGTGTGTTAGTGTGTGTTGTGCTGGTATGAGTGGATCGGACAGAGCACACCAGACACAAGGAGGTGGCCCTAATGTTATGCCTGATCAGTATGTATATGTAAATTAATTCATTTTCATAAAAAAAAACAAAACAAGGAATGTTCTGCTTGTTTACGTATTCTATCAAACTCTTATTTTATAAAACTGAGGAAAACTTGGCGTTCCATGATATGAGCCCTTTAAAATGTATATGAGCCAAATTATATAGTCATAAAAAAGTCATAAAAGTCATAAATATTCAAAGTCATAAAAAAAAGAAATCTGGCCTAAAAAGTTCACTTATGACAGAACAACCAGTCCTCAAATCTGTTTCTGCCTCCATGGTTCGAATTTATTCAGTGTCATCCTACCGGTGAAACTCACCTAGTTCCTTGTATTTGAATATGACGTGTTTGAAGATAAGATTGGTTTTAACTGCAGGGCAATCTTGCTGGGTGTCATGCAAATGTAAAGTGAGGCCTGGTATTGCTGTGAGTGGAGATTTATGGACGATTTTGAAGTGTAACATTCACATCAGCATTAAATTCGCAAGAATTAAATACAGTAGCCTTTCCTTACTGTGGAGTTACGGCACTTCGTATTTGAAAGTCATCACAGATCATATTCCTCATACCTTCACACCCACTGTCTGCACATTTGGGCAATAACTGGATATATTTACTGAGTGTCGTGTACAGTTTTGATCTCACTTTGGAAGCTTAGCATCTTATTTTAGACCAAACGTGTCTCAAAAAGTTCCTACGCTGACAGAGGCTATTCTAAGAAGTTCAAGTGTAGCTCAGAGGGAACTCGGTAGTTACTTTTTGAAGTTTACTCAGTGTTTTCAACCCTTTTTTGCTACTTTTACATCATTATTTCTCTGTATGACTGCAGTTGATATCCTCAACCCACAAACATTTTAGGTTTATGACCACGCCACACCCTGAAGCATAACTCAACACTGAAATAACTCATGTGGGTCACATTTTTATCACAGGTTTGTCAAAAGACGAAAACAAACACATCCTCAACTCAGACATGCACCACAGTAGGACAGAGTGTAATGAAAATACTAAAAAAAAAAAAAAACTGAAGCAAAATGTATTTTTAAGTGGTTATAACAGGTGCTATAAAACCAAAGCCAGTCCATTAGACACTGCTGAGCAATAAACTCACATTATTATTCTTATCGCATAACTGATACTCTCATATACATTTTCCAACCACCGGTTTAAAGGGGAATTCCACCGAGTGTTCAAAAATTCTGTATAATTCAATCATTATGAAGTAAACAAAGTCATTTAGTCATCTGGGTTGGTGTGAAATGCTCCTAACTGAGTGTTCGCAGTGGTGGTGATAGGAACCAGACATCTGAAGTATTTAATGCCTTTAAATATAGAACGTTATTACATGAAATGGTACTGCCTGGTGCCTAAGACATCTTAAAAAATTATATATATATGGACAGATATCCAAAATATCTCTCTCTCTCTCTCATATAATATATGTGTTTTTTTGTATATATTCTTCTTTTTATATTGTATCACCCTTATTATTATAACCGTGCTGTGTTGTGTGACTGATACTGGCTGCTAAAGCTCCTTTGGGATCAATAAAGTATCTATCTATCTATCTAATCTATCTATATTGTTTTACAACACTTTTGAGATACAGTTTTGGCCTGAAATGTATCTTTTAAAAGCACTTCATGGTGGAGGGGTACATGCAGGGTGTTATAAGGCGAAAGTGTGCCCAAAAGAAAGCTGATTTTTCCAGATTTACTACTATTTTACTATTTTAGACATATAAAAAAAAGCTTAAAAGACATGTGTAGGTCCACTGGTGGGTTTGGACAATAAATAAAAGACTTAACATCTCAACCACTAAATAAATCATGCAGGAATTTTGAAAAATCTCTGGTATTCCCCTTCAACTTACCCACAGTGTTACAGACACAGGGCTTGCCATCACAGTGACTTCAGCTGTTTTCTAAGGTTTATGACTATTACCGCCTAACCTAGTTGTGCCAATGAACTGTGTTGCACAAGAGAGAAAGTTGATCTTTGTTATCTCTCTCTGTGACAAACGGCTGTGAGGAGTCCACTCGAATCTTGCCAGGAGTCAAATTTCACTGAAGAAAGCTTTTCTAATTTACCTCAGAGCCAAATAACCGCTGCACGAACCTGAGCTAAGGCGAGGGGTATTTACGTTTATTCAAACGCTAAAACTGTTTTACTCACTTAGCTTTGTGGTTCGCTCAATCCACAGTTCTTATTCGCCATCTTCATTTCTAACTTTCCGTTCCACCTTAAATGTTAACGCAGTTCCATTCTGGCGCGTGAGCATGTGTACATGCGCTCGAATGGAACTGCTGCGCTACTTAAGGTGGAACGGAAAGTGTGAAAATAAAGCTGGAATACAAGAAGTCAGTTTTAGCCTCGTTCAGTCCAGGTTACCGAGGCTTTATCTAGGCTCTGCCCACAATAAGACTAAGTGTCTTTCACCTCAAGCAAAGCCTGAAATAACTCCATCTCACAAACATCACTGAATCACTATCACGGACTATAACTAACCCACCTGGGCAGTTCTGAGACAATCACAGCCTAATATAACGGTTTCAACGCGTCTTCCCGCTCTGACTGTTTAGAAATGGTCGATAATGTACAAACAAAAACAGGAAAACTCACCTTTACCGAGGTTCTGCAGATAAATCCGGGTTTTGAGTGTGTGTGAGTAGTAGAGCACCTGCTTTCTGGTCCAGGTGAGATTATGAGCGAGGGATCACAGTCCGTCATAATCCTGACCAATCAGTACATAGCATCCCCCGCCCACCTGTTAACGAGCCAATCAGCGTTTATCAACAGCATTACAGCGCGAACAGGGGGCGTGTCATAGGCTCAATCCCAAATTGCTCCCTGTTGGACTTTCAGGGCACCTTTTATTTGATGAGCTGTTCAGAGTAACATGGGGAGTAGGAGGAAATTTAGGATTTGGATAAGAGTCTGAATCTCAAAATGCATTTGGGTGAAGAAAAGCTGTTATTTTTGCACTATTTTGTTTACATTTTTACGGAGCCCTGCTGGTGACATCCTGTATAAATAAAAGTAATGCGTGGCCACGACTTAGTAAGGCGTGGGAATGAGATGATTAAGTCGTGGCCACGGCTTAGTAAGTCATGGCCATGCATTAGGATCTCGTTCCCACGTGTTAATAAGGCATGGCCACGCGTAATTTTTATTTATACAGCATGTCACCAGCAGGGCTCTGTACATTTTGACACTTCAGTCTGTCTTCTTTATTTCGTTTTTGGGAGGACTGCTACTGTTTTGTCACATGTTGATGCTGCCACATCCATTTCTCTATAATTTAGGGCAATTCTACAAGCAAAAGCTGCATCCCAGGTGGACCGTGTGGACGTCTGCAGAATGCCTGCCTCTTGTGGAGTAGATAGATGGCAAAACAAGCATTCTACCAAAACAGGTCATTCTACCAAAACGTCCATTTTTGTGTCCCTAGCGTTTACAGATATATTACACTTGAAAAACACGTTAGGATTACAATTTATTTATTTTTTAAAATTAAACAAGTTATTTTAACAATTACACCTTCTTGAGCCTCAATTTAGCAATATTGGTTTAAATCGATTATATAGAATTCCAAGCACCACAGAAGAGCTTGTCCCCAAAGTCAAGTCAAGGCTGAGGCCATATTTTGAAGAAAAAAAAGATTCTGCAATTTTAACTATAATAATCTATACATGACTATGGAATATATGGAATATAAATTAAATGACATAAAGAAAACGAATGCCAAATAAATATTATAAAATATATAATGAAAGTTGTTGTCCCCAGGAGTCGTGTCACTGGTATTACCGTGTTACAAAAAATCTCTTATTTTGAAATAAAAGTCACACTGATGACATCACTTGACTTCCTTTTACCTGTTTTCTGAGGATCTATGAAGAAAAGCACATGGTGAGTCCACTGTGTCTTTCAGTTATCAGATTTTCTCATTAAGCTCATGATTTCATATGAAGCTTTTAGCTGAAGTCACTGGTGTGACCGACTTTATTCTGAGGTAATTGTGAAAAAATAGAATACAAATGGATTAAATTACATATTTTGGTGGATATTCCATGATTGACGATATGTGGTTTGATTCGGCCATTTTATAAGATGCATTTTTCATTAAAAATGTCTCTGGTGTTCCTTTCTTATGTGTAACACCAATGACGATCGGTGACACCAGTGACTCCTATGGAGAGATAGAAAAGTGGACGTTTCTGTAGAATGACCCATATCAAGTCTGCAAGTCTGTGTAAACCCTGGCCGTTATTTCATGTTATATGTAGTGCACTACATACGGGAGTAGGGAACATTATTTCATTTGGCACTCAGCCTGAGCCAAAGTCCTCAATGGCTTCACAGAAGAGGTTCATGAGAGACCTTTTGTTGCAGTGCAAGACATTTGATTAATAAAAATGCAATAATTTCTTTACCTTTCATGCTTAACATATTAATGTATATTGTAATGCTTGTATTGAATTGTTTGTTGTGCCTGGAGAGGCAAAAGCTTTGCTTTGGCTGTACTGTGTTGTATTCTATTAGGCTTTTGGGATCTGGGTGCAGAAACCAAAGTTTCAAGGCCTTGCCGTGCACAGTGTGGGGAGCAGGGGTCCACATGTGAGACTCCCAAATGGACTTTTGGTGCACTATTTGGATGTAGAAGCCATTACTTTATGTCTGATGTAGGGTGTAAGGAGCCATTTAAGTGTAGTCAGAGCCTGAATCACAAATATTGTAGCTCCCTCTTGGATACAGTTTGCACTATATTGGGTCCATTTGAAATTCAGCCAAGACTTGATATGGATTGAGCAATAGGTGATAATGTTTAACTACCAAATGCTGGGTGCTCTAGTACCGTTTCCCTTTAGCAGAGTTATTTTTCCTGGCAGGCTGTTGATTAAAAGCCTTGGTAATCCCATTACTAAAGGTAAAAGGTTTCTTAAAATAACACTACTTTAATCCCTGTAAATTGGTAGGGACTTAAATCCTGGTTATCTGAATGGGATTCATTAGTGAGATAGCTGATAGCACACGACAGTCAATGTAAACACGAGCCAAACTTGGTTCATAAACCGCTGTTTATCTGTAATGCCGGCTGTTAAGATTGCAACATTAACAATGTTTGCATTAGTGAAACACCATAACGTTTCTTGCGTGGTGAAGAAAACAAGCAGGAGTATCAATTCAACCTTTATTTCTGGTGTAACCATTACAGCATGCAGTTCCTCAGGCCCACTTACCAACTTTGTTAGATCTCTACTAAGTAATTCAGTTTAAATCTCACATTAATGACAAGAAAGCGCATATAGCTTAACATCATTGTCAAATCTGGCCGAAAAAAAGCCACATGATTATATTTCCTTTGGCCTCACAGTGGCACAATTTCTAGTAATATCATAAAATAACTTACAAAGCATTGTGTTGTGTGGACAGTACCTGACTGCAGATGTGTTGGGATTTCATGGTTATTTATCACCAGCATTAGAATACATTCTGTGTTATCGTTGACCCACTCATACCACTTAATGAACTAAGCCAAGAAGTCATCAACGTTTGCCCCAGTGTTTCCAAACAGCATTTCAAAAAAGTTCAATATGACACAATTCTCCACTGAAGAAAAGAAAAACTCGCCACTGCTGCGTTAATTCGTCATTACAAAAAATTCCACAGCCGCTTGCATAAAAGTGTTTTGCATGGCCAGTTTTACAAACAATAAAAACAGTGCTATTAGAAACAGAAAATCCACAACACTATGCTATTTAATGTATAAGTGAGTCCACAATCAGCACCATTTGTTATTCTCTACCAAAAAAAACCTCCAAAAACAATCCACTCTTTTGGAAGCCTAACTAGCTCTACAACCAATGCCTTTCAAATACTTAAAATGAGAAGCTGCCCGTTTAAAAACTACTAAAGAACGCTCATCGCCCAATGTTTGATCTCTGCAGCTACTTCAAGTAACAGTTATTACTGAGCCAGTGACCATGTAGTGCCATCAGTTGTTCTGAAAATGTGCAATGCAACCTTAAAAATGGGGGGAATCACACAAATGCAACGATGCCATCTAGTATGCAATAGTGTTGCAACTTTAAAACATCGATAAAGAAGGCATTTCTTTTTTCCGTTTTGGTTTGAATAAAGGCTCACTCCTCTCGTTAGGCAACGAACTCAACTGCTACATATCAAAATAAAAAGGTGTTATTACTACTGTGCTGATACACACACGAAAACATAATGCTTAAACCTCAGGAACCTTTAAACCCAGTGTTAACCAAAGTCGTAATTAATACTGAAAAGTTGGGAGATGGGGAGAAACACATTGTGAGGTAGAAAACGGCACCAAGCTGAGACACACAGCTGTGAAATAGTGACAGGGGACAAAACGTATGCTGGGAGGTGGCAGTGGGAAGCAAGTTAAAGGTGATCCAAAGTGAACTTCTACACCTCGCCAAAGTTGGTGTGGCCCGTATCCTTGGCGTGCTCCCTCGCCTCCTTCTGTCCCACGAGACCGGTCTGGCACACCATGCAGCGCAGCGCGAAGCGGTTGACGTCCGTGTACTGCCGCTTGCGCCGCGCCTCGTCCGCCAGCTCCAACGCCTGTGCCAGAATGATGTCGTCGGTCGTGGAGAAGATAGTCTGTGGTGGGACGTCCGAGCCGGGCGTCACCCTCTGCAGTGGGTCGTAGTGGATGCCATCGTAAATGAGCAAGACGCGTTTTTGGTAGCCTGCATCCTCGCCGAAGCGGTCCACGCGCACAGTCTGCGTGTCCACTACACAAATCTCGCACTGGTAGAACTTAGACAGGATAGACACCTCGATGGCGCCGCCCCACGTGTCGTCACGCCGGATCCAGGCGCAGTATTCCTCGTTGCTTTTGCCCAGCACTGCCTCCGAGTAGGCGGCTGGGTCGCTGGCCACAATCTGGGCGATGAGGCCGCGCATCTCTGGTGCGCAGGCTGGGTCGTACACACCCCCCTCCACCACATAGTTAACACTGGTAAAGAGGCAAGAGTTGTCAGCAGGAACCACACGGCGCTCCAGGACAGGGCTGGAGTCCAGGCACGGGACCTTTGTTACAGCAGCATTAGTCTGAGCTTTTGGTTTGTTCTTTTCTTCTTCTACGATAAGAGTGTCTCCTGTCAGAGAGCGTAAAAACAGCCGTGTAAATATCCGACCTCACAATGTTTCAATTCATAATTATTTTTAAAAATATAAACATGAAAGTGGAGGAGCGATTTGACACAGTAGTACAATATGGACAATACGTGTCGGTTTCCTGACAGGGATTAAGCCTAGGACTGGGTAGCATTCTAAAAAAAGATTCTCTATTGAAAGGAAAATGTAGTCCAAGCCTAATCTTAATACCTGTCTGGAAAGCCAACCCTGAAAAACAAAATACATCATGCTTTATGTTCTCAGCTCATGTTTAAGAAGTGCAATATTTCACAAAACCAAATCAATATTTTTACTCTCAAATTTAAAAAAAAATGAGCACAAACTTACATTATATTACATATGAGTATATAACAAGAGTATTATTATTATTATAATCAATTCTAAGCGATTCTAGCATTCCATAATCAATTATAACTGACCTGTTACCTTCAAAATTATGCAATGGTACATTTTTACATCACTGTTTAGAAAATATGAGGACACACACCGATCAGGCATAACATTATGACCACCTCCTTGTTTCTACGCTCATTGTCCATTTTATCAGCTCCACTTACTATATAGGTGCACTTTGTAGTTCTACAGTTACAGACTGTAGTCCATCTGTTTCTCTGCATACTTTGTTAGCCCCCTTTTACCCTGTTCTTCAGTGGTCAGGACCCCCATGGACCCTCACAGAGCAGGTACTATTTGGGTGGTGGATCATTCTCAACACTGCAGTAACACTGACGTGGTGGTGGTGTGTTAGTGTGTGTTGCGCTGGTCTGAGTGGATCAGACACAGCAGTGCTGCTGGAGTTTTTAAACACCTCAGTGTCTGGACTGAGAATAGTCCACTAATCAAAAATATCCAGACAACAGCGTCCTGTGGGCAGCGTCCTGTGACCACTGATGAAGGACTAGAGGATGACCAACACAAACTGTGCAGCAGCAGATGAGCTATCGTCTCTGACTTTACATCTACAAGGTGGACTGACAAGGTAGGAGTGTCTAATAGAGTGGACAGTGAGTGGACACAGTGGTGTTTAAAAACTCCAGCAGTTCTGCTGTGTCTGATCCACTCAGACCAGCACAACACACACTAACACACCACCACGTCAGTGTTACTGCAGTGCTGAGAATGATCCACCACCCAAATAGTACCTGCTCTGTGAGGGTCCATGGGGGTCCTGACCACTGAAGAACAGGGTAAAAGGGGGCTAACAAAGTATGCAGAGAAACAGATGGACTACAGTCTGTAACTGTAGAACTACAAAGTGCACCTATATAGTAAGTGGAGCTGATAAAATGGACAACGAGCACAGAAACATGGAGGTGGTCATAATGTTATGCCTGATCGGGTAATAAGACCAAAACTGAACTTGTTTACAGTGAATGACTAATATAGTTTCCTTATTACATTCCAAGTACAAAACTGATGCCACAGAAGCGGAAACCCATATTCCATAATCCATTTATGGTGCAGGGCTGGATAACTGAATCATCTCCACTGATTACTGCCACTATTCATTCCTTATTAACACAATGTGTAAAAACAACCGAGCTTCCTCCTGCGTCTTTTTCATGTATTATAATGACAAAGATGAGTCTTCCGCCAAGACGAAAACCTCACCTGATTTTATAGGGTAGTCCTTGAGATGGGCACCTCCGTTACGGAGATCCAAACTGGAGGGAGGGTAGCCCACCATGATCTTCTGCACGTCGCATGGTATACCGGTCAGTTCCTCTACCTTGTCTTTCAGCTCTTGAACGCAGGACTGGTGCGTGAGGCCTTGCATCAGATGGGTCCCATTCTTGGCCTTGCACCGCAACCGCAGCATCCTGAGTGCCTTCAGTTCTGCTGCAGAAGAAACATTAAGTCTCAAGCATGTATTATTTTTGCAGGATCATTTTGCATGACACCAGCCTGGGCTTGTCCATGTTCACCACTGGCTTCACAGTCAGATTCCCAAGCAAATGAAAACCCAACACAGGAACGATTTAGACAAACTGCTGACGCCAGTGTTTATCTAAACAAAAGTACTGCTGTCACTGTCACTGTCCACTGGCAGTCAATAATGTGGTCCCCTAAGCGAGGTAACCGTGTAGCAGCTGCTCTAACAGGTTGGAAAACAATGAAATGTGGATCAGAAGCACCATCAAAAAACTGTGAGCTGCCTTTTGGTTTAATCCCATCACTGCTAGTGGGAAAGCTGTGTGATGTTACCCAGCAAAATCAGCACATTCAGCATATAAAACACCTCAGATTAGTTCGATATAAAGCTAGCTTATGTACTGTTATTAACCCTCTACAGTTGCACTGCGATTCGCTGTTGTACGAAACGCCTTATTAGCTCGAGAAGCGAAAATATTCTAAGATTAATCGATAATAACAGAGGCGGCTAGTTAGCTTAGCTTAGCTCAGCTGCTGTTCAACGTCAGCTCAGAGTGATATCTAGCACTAAACGTGGACTTTCCGTCCCAGTTCACAATGGAAAATTATCCCCAGTAGTTCCGTATATTTGCATCTTCGTGTCTGCTTTTATTTTCGGCTTATTTTACTAAATACTGTAACGGTTTCTTACCTCCGAGCGCCTTTCAACAACACCACACTGACCGACAAGTGACATGCGTAATACGTCACGCGGTGTGCACAAAACAGTGATGACGCGAAGCGCGGCCGCGTTCACGTCATGCGTTTTGTAGAATATGTTATCATTTTATTTATTTACGCGTAGAACCCTTTCATGGAACAACTCTGAAATGAATGTTAGGAACAAGTCCTTGTTCTTTTCTACGGAGCCCCTGAGTACGGAGCCCCTAAGGGGCCGTGGTTAAGTTAATGACAATGCGTTCCCTCGCAATTGTTTTGCGTTCCCTCGCAAAATGTATGCTCGTCAGACAGCATGCAAACGTAGGACCAGAGGTGCCCAACAACACTGCCTACATTAGAGCTTTGTTTTTAGCATAGCTGCTGTTAAAAGCTGTTTTTCCCAGAGTTTATTAATTATTATTTAATGCTGAGTTTATTCAGCTGTTGTTCTCTGCAGTCTCTGTAAATGTAGCTTTCACTGTACGAGGAAACTCGACCTCAGTCCCAGTTTGAGTCACTAACAGCAGAATCATGTTTGATATTGAGAAGCGACACTACGTCTTTATATTTCAATCCAAGATCAACGTAAAATACAATGAGCTGCTTCGTGTCTGAGCTTAAACAAAGCACAGCTTTTGCAAGTGAATGCAAACCATTGCATCGTAATGAAAAACGTGCAAGGTAATGCATTTTATTTGCAAGGAAACGCAAAACATTTGCGAGGGAACGCGAAACATTTGCGAGGAAACGCATTTTATTTGCGAGGGAATGCAATGTCATTAACTTTTTTTTTTTTACCGCGGCCCCTTACGGGCTCCCTACTTTTCCAAATGGTTTCAAAGAAATATTAATAATATTCTTTCTTTATTTGACAGTTCTGGAAATGTGCTCTCTTATGATCAGTTCATGGCTACACATGACCTCCCAGCCCCCTTTAAGGAATATAACGCCCTGATTAGAGCTGTTCCTGAGGGCCTCATTCATCCTGTAAAAAGCCATTTAAGTTTTAGTAATAATGAAATCATGCTACCCTCATTGTTTTTGGGTGGTATAAATATACTTGAAAAAAGTATATTTAAGAATAGTGGGCAAACATCTACAAGATTAACCTACAAGTCCAATCGCTTGGACTGTTTGTTAGGAAGTGTTTGTCACTCTAATTACACCATTCACTTTTGGTTCTTAGCGCCTAGTGCACTACTGGGGTCGATTTGAGTCCCAGAAAATCATTGTAAGGACTTTTGCTTGTAATAATAAAACAGACATTGGGAGTATCTGCCATCCTTCCAATAAGGAAGTAGATAGAAGATCATTGCAGCTGATCATCACACATCCCTCTGCATCTGTATTGTTATTTATTCCCTGTACATTTGGTTTATATTTTGTATATAATTTATAGTATTGATGCCCCCCCCCTGTGGTGGTGTCTTTGTTTATATTTGTATTATTTGTTTACTATTTGTACTTTGTACCGTCTGTTTATGTGTACACCAATTTCACCAAGACAAATTCCTTGTATGTGTAAATGTACTCAGCCAGTAAACGGGTTCTGATTAGTTAATTGTTAGTACTGTATCTCCTTTTTTTGTCTGGCACAGATTTGGCTTTTTTCAGAATAATGACTTATTTTCTCAAAATGTTTACTAATGCCAAAATAATTAATTTTCTGGAGAATTCTGATGTTTTTATAATGACTGTTTTTATTTATGTGGCCTCTTTAATCAAAAACTGAACTTGAGTTGAAGCTCTGATATCGAAATAAAATGAGTTCCTGAGATTTTAGGATAAATTATCCAGATTTTGCAGTTAGCAATCTACAGTACAGTGCAGTATAGTGTGTTTTAGCCACAGCGTTCCCCGTGTTTTTCTGTACTTTCTCCGCCCGGTCGCTGAGCGGCGCTGCATTAATAAACGCCATTCTTTTTCGTTTCCGCCATCACTGTTTCTCCAACGTGAGGACTCCGTTGCCGCGGCAGATAATAATCCCGTTTATTTCAGAAGAACAGCAGCAAAACGACCCGCCGATCCTGCGGAGATGGCGTACAGGGGGCAAGGGCAGAAGGTGCAGAAGGTGATGGTGCAGCCCATCGTATCCTTTAACGCCGGGCAGGCTCTGTTACCACGACGGTCTCCCTCCATTCATTTAGCTTAGCGCTGGCTAACTGCGTCTGCCTCTCTACCTCCTACCTCTGACTCTCTAACTCCTGCCTCTGACTCTCTAACTCCTGTCTCTGATTCTTTAGGTTAACTCCTGCCTCTGACTCTCTAACTCCTGCCTCTGACTCTCTAACTCCTGTTTCTGATTCTCTAGGTTAACTCCTGCTTCTGACTCTCTAACTCCTGCCTCTGACTCTCTAACTCCTGTTTTTAACTCGCTAACTCCTGTTTTTGACTCTCTAACTCCTGTCTCTGATTCTTTAGGTTAACTCCTGCCTCTGACTCTCTAACTCCTGCCTCTGACTCTCTAACTCCTGTCTCTGACTCTCTAACTCCTGTCTCTGACTCTCTAACTCCTGTCTCTGACTCTCTAACTCCTGTCTCTGACTCTCTAACTCCTGTCTCTGACTCTCTAGGTTAACTCCTGCTTCTGACTCTCTAACTCCTGTCTCTGATTCTCTAGGTTAACTCCTGCTTCTGACTCTCTAACTCTTGTCTCTGACTCTCTAACTCCTGTCTCTGATTCTCTAGGTTAACTCCTGCTTCTGACTCTCTAACTCCTGTCTCTGACTCTCTAACTCCTGTCTCTGATTCTCTAGGTTAACTCCTGCTTCTGACTCTCTAACTCCTGTCTCTGACTCTCTAACTCCTGTCTCTGATTCTCTAGGTTAACTCCTGCTTCTGACTCTCTAACTCCTGTCTCTGACTCTCTAACTCCTGTCTCTGACTCTCTAACTCCTGTCTCTGATTCTCTAGGTTAACTCCTGCTTCTGACTCTCTAACTCCTGTTTCTGACTCTCTAACTCCTGCCTCTGACTCTCTAACTCCTGCCTCTGACTCTCTAACTCCTGCCTCTGACTCTCTAACTCCTGTCTCTGATTCTCTAGGTTAACTCCTGCCTCTGACTCTCTAACTCCTGCCTCTGACTCTCTAACTCCTGCCTCTGACTCTCTAACCCCGGTTTACTCACTATAATCTACACGTCTAATTTGTTGTTAAAGACATGATTATTTACTGTAGTATTTAAAATGCTGAAGTATTAATACTCCACTGCTTTAACAACGCGCTGTAGCATTAGCTGCAGTCCCAAAGTGCAGAGGACCGTCTTTACGTTCGAGTTTTGATCAGTGAGTAAAAACGTGTAGCATCAGATACCGTTACAGTTATTTATGTATATAACAGCCTAACGAACCTTATTTTAGAAATGTGTCGATATGGGAATTACAGGACGATGTCGATATCCGATATGTTTCATGTAAATACACGCAGCCTTACAAAATGTGTAATTATAATATTAATATTTATTTTTCTATAAATGAAGTAAAATGAGTGAAAAGCAGGCATTTTAACACAGTAGCCCAGCATCACTTCTTCAGTGTTCCATAGTAATTTGCAATTAATAATCTGTCAACAGTTAGTTTGAATTGGGGGTCGTATCTAAGGATCTGTCCGATGACAGTAATTTTTAAACCATTATCTGATTCCGATGTAATGTACCCATACTTTCTTGTACCAGTGCCAGCAGTGTAGGTTTCAGATCCTCATTGCTTGCACTGACTTTAGACTTTCTAGAAACCAAAGCTGTGTATGTAAAATGTACAGCAACCCCCAGTCAGGCAAACTAGCTAGTAAGATCTTTTTTGGCAGTAGCGTAGCTAAAACGTGATACCATCATCCATGCTCATTGTTTTTATCCTTGACCTCATCCTACAGAATCTTATTTTCAGGTATCTGCAGAATGTAAGTACAGCTTTTTATTTGCTGGTTTAATAATTCATGTTAGGTTTTTTTGTGTCATGTTTGAGGTTACATAACGTTTGGCTCTGATTTACAGTTAATCCCAGATTTGTAGTTGTATATGGTTCAGTTGCTTTTGTGAAAAAGCTGAGATGCCTTTCAGGGCTGGAATATTTCTTGTGTAAACCAGTTTTCAGGAGATGCCACCAATGTAGCATCTTCCAATGAAGTTAACCAATGAAGTTAACAGTCATTAGTGTTTCCAAAGTCTTCAGTTTCTTATCAGATTGTTAATTTCTCTTTGTAAACGTGTCATATGGAAAAATAATATAGTCTCTTATGTGTTTTATTTTGCATGGCGTATCAGAACTGCAGTATGGTAGATATTGGTGAATATTCATGGTTCTCAGTTTGTGCCCTCGTTAGTAATCTTTTTCCTCTCTCCGCAGCGCTCCCGTATCCAGGTCTGGCTTTATGAACAGGTCAACATGCGGATAGAAGGCTGCATTATTGTGAGTGATGCTACATTAATATCACCAGTCAAAAACACTTTGTCATCGTCAGATGAAGGTTCACACAATTCTTGGATTGCAAATGATTCTCTAATGGGGCCTGTTTGACAGAACATGTTCACTATAAACTAAAGTCACATACACTGGAAGACTTTTGAAAGACTAAAATCTGGCGCCCTCTTACACGTAAAGACAATGTCCCAGATTTTAGTCACAGACTATGATTTTGCAAAGACTGGGAATCTTGCAGTGTCACTGTTTCCAAGACTGCAACTAGATCTTTCAGATTATTTCCCATCTTGCGCCTCATGGGAATTTACAAACAGATAAACCCTTTTCCTTCTCCTCTCTGTAGTCGTACAGATGGGAAGACACTTTGACTGGGCGTGTAAAGATCTGGGACTCAGCTCAGTTCACTGTAGAACTGCATATTCTGGCAGATCATCACTCAGTATTTTTATAATTAACCTGTAAAATGTGCAGTTTTTTGACATTAAGATTCACACATCAACAAAACATGCAGTGATTCAGCAAAATTGTAATTCCCCATTAACAAGTCATGAAGGATATAAACCAGATACAAGCACTTTGCCATGGGTAGCCACGTTTACATGCAGCCTGATAATCCGTTAATAATCCGACTAATAGCTCAATCGGAATAGAATGCGTCCATATAAACACCTCAATCGGAATAGTCTAGTCTGATTGAGGCCATTCGGAGTACAGTTTCTATCCGACTGAACGAGGTGGGTAATCCTGTAAATAATCCGTTAAATAGAAGAATGATATCCATGTAAACGCCTGTATCTGATTACATTCCCTATCAGAAAGTTTAAGTCCGTTCTGATCATGTTCGTCACGTCATAGTGAAAGTTTATACCGTTCAACATGGCGGAGCAGAAACTGGTCTGCAGAGGAGACGAAGTTTATGCTCTGATCTTTAAAAGACGGCGGTGGGACGGACGTCCAGCTTATGTGTCTCAGAACACGACGTCTTCCTCTCGGCCTTCTTTAATAAGGACATGTGAAGGACGTTTTCCTGAGTCTGACATCATTTTAAAGTAATTAGAAACACAAGCGCTGCTCACTGCTGCTCATCTCACTCTGACTGGACTCACAAGATGCTGGTATTCATGGTAACGTCTACACTAAGTGGTTCTTTATGCATTTTGGATCTGAGTACTTGTAGTGAGCAAGTAAACTGAGATTTTCATCAGATTGTTGAGTAGAGTGAGAATATAAACACCTCAGTCTGAATCTATAATCAGAATGTATTTAGTCAGATTGGCAAAAATCTTTATATAAACACAGACAGTGATGTCCCTCTGCTTCACATGGGCTATTTGGAGGAACTAAATAGCAAGTGGAGCTTATTTGCACCCTCTAGTGTTCACATTCAATTTAACACCTCTACACTTTGCCACTACAGAAGCTTGTATTGTTTCTTTGAAAAGCAAAACAACTGGAAATACCCAAGCTTGGTAACACAACTAGGGAAGCAAGATAACACTGGAAACAGTCTGATACCTTGGAACAATATTGGGATCAGTTTAATGCCAGGACTTTGGATGCTTGGAGCTTCTGTTCTTTTATTTGTGTCGAAGAGGACGAACAGACACTGTGCAGTGTGCTTAATCAGTTTAAGTGATATTCTCCTCTTGTAATTAAGCGGATATATTGTCGTTGTTGTTTATAAAGGATACAGATGAATACAGATGTGGCTCTGTGAGTCTGTTCTTATGTCTTAATGCATTTGCTTCAGCTGTTTTATTTATTGTTGCCCTTGCCTGTAGGGTTTTGACGAGTACATGAACTTGGTTCTGGATGATGCAGAGGAAGTCCACATGAAGACGAAGAACAGAAAGCCCCTGGGTAAGGAATGTCATAAGACTTGTGCCATGTTATGTTTTAAATCTGTAAGTTTTTCCTTGCTAAATATCTCAAAGGTATGCTACGTGTCCAAAGGTTTGTAGACACTTGCTTATGCAGCATCAAGAATATTAAAAGATTGACAGTCTCTATTGTTCTGGAATGACTTTACAGTAGCGGTCAGACTGCCAGCATTTGATTGCGTTGAGCCACAAGAGCATTAGTGAGCGATTTTAACAAAAAAAATAAAATAAATAAAAAATGCTGTCCAGAATTTTGATTTAGGAGCGCCTGTGCGCTGAAAATCTGCCGCTTCATTATGCTTGACAACATTTTTTTAATGATGCACCTCTGGCCTACTGTATTTGCAGGGCATGATGAGGTAGTTAGCCCATTGGGTTGTTGCACATCACAAGAAGCCCAACTAACCTGCTGAATAACTGACCTGCCCAACTGTCTAGTCTCACAGTTTAGTTCAAATCTGCTGGTTTACCATAAGACTCACATTTTCATGCTTTTGCTGTGGTCTCACTGTAGTGAATATAAATCCCATAGGTTAAAAAGTGTGGTCCCCTTGCTGTGTGTGCTGCACAGTTGTATCTTAGAAATAGCCGAGACTGTGTGCAGCTACACGTTTGCAGTGCACTGACCAGCATTATTACCCAATATTAAAAGATCATGTTAAAGCCAAGGGTGTTTTTCATGTGCTGGCATTTAATCAGACTAACAAAACCAGCAGTTAAATGCCCCTTACATACAACAGATTATACAAAAACCTCCCAAATGGAGTGTTTGATTTGATTGCACTGATGTTAAAACTAGGGGAAAAAAGTTTTGTAGAGTTTGTAGGCATGCTGTAAAAATTGCAGAGTCAGGGGTGTTTTGCTTTGCAGTGGAAAGCAGCCTGCACGCTCGCACAACTACTGATTCAGGCGCTTTTCAGGAAGTCAGATCAGCTGGTTCAGCTCACCAATAAGAGCCGACTGACTCTTTGAGCTTCAAAATGGCTCCTCATTCAGAATCATTGTCAATTTTTTGAAATTTCAAAATTAGGTAAGTTAGCAAGTCTAAATGTTAATTTATTAAGACATTAACAACTCCAGCAAACAGGTTTGCGTGCCAAACATATAAGATCTGGTAAAATTAGAAAAACACAGGAACAAGGAGCTGCAAGAAAAGAACATAATACATACTGAAAGACAGAAATCATAGTTTCTAATGTTGTTCCTGAAATCATTAAGAGCTTGGATGATGTACAACAAATCTGATCGCTGAATTAAACCTCCTCTCCGGCAATAAAAAGGAAATGATGGCCTTATGCTCATGTGCAGCTGCTCCAGAGCATCAAAGTCAGTATGCAGTGCTTTTTAATGGAGATTATACAAGCTGTGTGTGCAGTTAAACACCTGTGTCAGCAGTGGGTCGCTGAGTTTACTCAACAGTCAAGTCAAATAGTTAAGTCAAAGTTTATTTATGTAGCGCTTTTTACAACAGGTGTTGTCACAAAGCAGCTTAACAGAAAAATCCAGGTCTGAGCCCCCAGTAGAGTCGCCAATGTAGTCGGAGTATCTGGATATACAGTGACATTATGTACACTGAAACCTTTTTCTTGTTTGTTTTCCAACAGGGAGGATCATGTTGAAGGGAGACAACATCACACTGCTACAGAGTGTGTCAAATTAACCGTTTGGATTTGGTGGAATAACGCAATGTTGTTTGATATGTTTTCATGGATGTTTCATTTTCTTGGATTTCTTTGTCAGTTTTTGACCTAAACAGTGCTGATCCTGAGTGATGTTTTTCTACTCAAATGAAATTAAAGTTTCTTTACTTCTGACTCAGGGTTGTCATCACATTTGTCCGCACATGAGAAAATTTTCTTTTCGTGTACAAAATATTATCCTATCGATTTTGAGTAGTATAGTAGGGGTTTGAAAGCTGTCTAACTGGTCTATTTTGCTCATTTTGGGGGCTACATAGAAAAGGATATGGCACAAAGTAATGATTCCATGCTGAAAAAACAGAAAATCCATCCGCATCCACAAGGCATGTGCAAAATAAATCCCAGAGCAAAGACATTCCTGTGCCCACCGTCTTAAGAGAAGTATAAAAAGCCTTTATTAATACAAGGCAATATATATAAAAATGTGCCGACGCATTGCGGCCATCTCAGGCATTTATCAGGACACAAAAAATGGCACATCAATAGAAACCATCTGAGAACACCCACATACAGCGATCAGGCATAACATTATGACCACCTCCTTGTTTCTATGCTCATTGTCCATTTTATCAGCTCCACTTACTATATAGGTGCACTTTGTAGTTCTACAGTTACAGACTGTAGTCCATCTGTTTCTCTGCATACTTTGTTAGCCCCCTTTTACCCTGTTCTTCAGTGGTCAGGACCCCCATGGACCCTCACAGAGCAGGTACTATTTGGGTGGTGGATCATTCTCAGCACTGCAGTAACACTGATGTGGTGGTGATGTGTTAGTGTGTGTTGTGCTGGTCTGAGTGGATCAGACTCAGCAGTGCTGCTGGAGTTTTAGACACCTCAGTGTCACTGCTGGACTGAGAATAGTCCACCAACCAAAAATATCCAGCCAACAGTGTCCTGTGGGCAGCGTCCTGTGACCACTGATGAAGGACTAGAGGATGATTAGCTCATACTGTACTGCAAGAGATGAGCAATCATCTCTGCCTTTACATCTACAGGGTGGACAACAACGCTGGTGCATCTGATAGAGTGGACAGTGTTTAAAAACTCCAGCAGCACTGCTGTGTCTGATCCACTCGTACCAGCACAACACACACTAACACACCACCACCACGTCAGTGTTACTGCAGTGCTGAGAATGACCCACCGCCCAAGTAGTACCTGCTCTGTGAGGGTCCATGAGGGTCCTGATGACTGAAGAACAGGGTAAAAGCAAGCAAGCAAAGTTTATTTATATAGCACTTTTTACCACAGGTGTTGTCACAAAGCAGCTTTACAAAGAAATCAGCATTACAGAAAGAAATCCGGGTCTGAGCCCCCATGAGCGTCGCCAGTGGCGACAGTGGCATGGAAAAACTCCCTAAGAGAAACAGAAAGGAACCTTGAGAGGAACCAAGACTCAGAAGTGGAACCCATCCTCCTCTGGTCGACACCGGATAGTAAACATTGTTAGTACAAAAACAGGGAAAACAGGTGGAGCAAATGATTAATTTGATTAGTTTATGCAGCAGCAGCATCAGTGGGGTCGGGTTGTGAGGGTGAGGTTTGCACGGCGTTGTACAGCATGAAGCTCAAGGGTGGTCAAGCCGGTCCAGAGGGCTGGCGAGCAGTGGCACCTGATCAAGGCAGAAGAGGCATCAGCATCAGACGCACAGGATGGACAGCTGTTCTACTCGGCAAAGAAAAGAAAGAAAGGAAAAACACAGAGAGTCAGTTCTGTAATGGGTGACTGGCAGAACTGAGAGTCAGTTATATAGTAAGTGGAGCTGATAAAATGGACAATGAGCGTAGAAACGAGGAGGTGGTCATAATGTTATGCCTGGTCGGTGTATATACAAGCTTCTGCCAACTGTTGGTCAGGAAGAGAAAAAAATTTAAAGAAAAGAGGAAAACCGATATCCTCATTCAGACCAGGATACTCTTTAGAAGTAAGATATGCAAAAGTAAGAGTTTCAAGTGTAAAAATCCAGAATGTCTCCCTCTGAAGTAACTGCCTTAATCCATTACCTCCTCTAATGGACTTTGGAATAACCTTGTGACGAGCTGGGGCTCGGATGTGTAGCTGCCTTATAGCGCATGGCCATTAATTAGGCTTCTGAGTAATAAGAATAATTTTTATGTTAAGATAATCTTCCTCTCAACCTCCTTTCACTATGGCCAATGTAGAAACAACCACATTCACATTCAGGTCTGTATACTACAAAAGTAGTATTGCTGTCAGCAAATGAAACAAGTTTGAATGATTCACCAGAAACAAAATCCACAAATGAATCATCTCTAATCATATTGAAGCAATGATTACACCCACCACATCTAAAACTGTAGCCACGTGTCCTTCCTTGTATTTTCAAGTTGACTGTGCACCAACTTATCTTTAAGAGTAGGGGCCCTACTAAACAGAGGATGTGGTACATTTAAACACAGTAGAGCTTCTTGGTTGAAAAAAGTTCTACTGCAACAAGTACATAACACACCAGCTTGTTCTGTAACATTACAACAGCTGTGTTTCCATCCAAACCAGTGGTGTGGTTTGGTTAGGTTAGGCTCAGTTTGGTTAGGTTAGGTTAGGTTAGGTCAGGTTAGGTTAGGTTAGGCTCAGTTAGGTTAGGTTAGGTTAGGTTTTTTTGTTTGGTCAGGTTAGATTTGGTTTGGCTTTGTTTGGTTAGGTTGGGTTTTGTTTGGTTAGGTTAGGTTAGGTTAGGCTTGGTTTGGTTTGGTTAGTTTAGGTTAGGTTTGGTTAGGTTAGGCTTTGTTTGGTTAGGTTAGGTTAGGCTTGGTTTGGTTTGGTTAGGTTAGGCTTTATTTGGTTTGGTTAGGTTAGGTTTGGTTAGGTTAGGTTATGTTAGGTTTGTTTATGTTAGGTTAGGCTTTGTTTGGTTAGGTTAGGTTTGGTTTTTTTTGGTTTGGTTAGGTTAGGCTTGGTTTGGTTTGGTTTGGTTAGGTTAGGCTTTGTTTGGTTAGGTTAGGTTTGGTTTTTTGGTTTGGTTAGGTTAGGCTTTGTTTGGTTTGGTTAGGTTAGGCTTTGTTTGGTTAGGTTAGGTTTGGTTAGGTTAGGCTTGGTTTGGTTTGGTTAGGTTAGGTTTTGTTTGGTTTGGTTAGGTTAGGTTAGGCTTTGTTTGGTTTGGTTAGGTTAGGTTAGGCTTTGTTTGGTTAGGTTAGGTTAGGCTTTGTTTGGTTAGGTTAGGCTTGGTTTGGTTTGGTTAGGTTAGGCTTTGTTTGGTTTGGTTTGGTTAGGTTAGGCTTTGTTTGGTTAGGTTAGGTTTGGTTTGGTTAGGTTAGGTTTGGTTTGGTTAGGTTAGGCTTGGTTTGGTTTGGTTAGGTTTGGTTAGGTTTGGTTATGTTAGGTTAGGCTTGTCTACTACTACTACTACTACTACTGTACTACTACTACTATTACTACTACTACTACTGTACTACTACTACTACTACTGCTACTACTACACTAATACTACTACTACTACTTCTACTGCTACTACTACAACTCTACTACTACTACTACTACTACTCTACTACTACTACATCTATTGCTACTACTACTACTAATAATAATAATTATTATTATTTAGCAAAATGCTTCAAAATGTTTCTCAATATATGGAAGCAGAAATCATTGTTAATATTTTAGGAATGTTGATGAAACTTTTTCCTGTTCAACTTTAGCCAGGAGCTTTTGTTTTTCTCCTTTTTCTCCTTTTTTCCAGTTCCGCTCATTAGCATACGCTTCCTCAGAGAAACGTGAAGCCAGCCAACGCATTTCTTTGGACTGCCTCTAAAGGGCAGTGTCACTGGGCAGCGTAACACGCTTGGAGGAGAACAACAACTGCCAATTCTGTTACACCAGCTAACAGACACCTGCATTGGCTGGCATCGTGTTAAGTGTTATGGGAGTGGGACCCACCCAGAGAGTGAGGATACTTGTCAACAGCAACAGTTTTTTGTTTTGTTTGTTTGTTTTTATTTACAGAAAATGACATCATTATGTATTTTTGTCATGAAATGAGTTTCATTGAAACAAGCATTTTCAAAATGCATGAAAACATCAAGCTGTGACCCCACCGAGATCTAAAAGTGCATGTTTGAAATGAGAATGAAGGCTTATTAAGAGCAGCAATGTTTTTCTGAATGTTAACCCAAGAAATTTAAATGATAAGATGCACATTGTCCCAACCTGTTATGTAGATCATGTTTCTCAAAGTTAGTGAACCTAAAGGGTGAGTGGTGAACATTATCTAGTTAAATTGTGAATGCCCTAAAGCCCCACTTGACTAACTGAATTAGACGTGCAAGGTTCGGAGTTAAGCAGCGTACACCGCCATGAGCAGGGCTGCTGATGATTATCATTATTAAAAATTATTATTATTCATCATTAAGAAATAACAATGTATAAGAGATTGTAGATAAAAGAATAATAATAATGACTAATTATCAGGGAAGTCTCTCTTATCCCCTTTGGCTCAAAGGATATACATTTGAATTTTCCTCACGCTTCCTCGAGTCTCAGAATGTCCAGATGTCCAGAAAAGACATAACAGTTAGCTAGTTCTAAGCTGGGAGGGTGAAGGTTAGCACATGCTTCCTCTGAGACACGTGAAGCCAGTCAGTGCTTCTTTTCAAAATATACTGTTCGCTCCACAGTTCAAACATGGAAATTAAGCCACAGTGATTCATTCTGAATTAAAAAATTTTTTTCTGATTGAAAATCAAGGCATATACTTATAACAGCCCATTCAACCTACAGCAGTTTAGCCCCGCCCACACTGAAGACTTTGCACCACTTTGCCTGAAAATATGAACATATAAAGAAAATGAAAAATATTGAAATCCTTTATTTCGTGTTTGGTTTCAGCGCCCCTCCTGAAAGTGTTTTGCTGCGTCTCGCAGCAACGCTGCTCGCTTATTTCCGGTACCACCGTCTGTTTTTGCACATGCTCGGACTTAAAAATCCAAAAGAAATCAGAGTGAGAGTTTACATGCACTGAGAAATCTGATTACTGAGCTAAAATCCAGCCTCTTTATCAGATTTCTTAATTGGATCTCTAGATTGGAGTATGGTGTTTACATGACCATTTGAATAAATCTGATTATGATCAGGTTATTGAGTGCATGTAAACGCTCTC